TAGTTCCAGCGTTGACCGCTCGATAGCGCCGCTTACCCGCGCTAGAAAAAATCAGTCCGGGAACTTTCCGGACAAACTGTGTATATATATATATTATATATATATAAATTTATTTAATCAATAAATTTACTTTAACACTTAAAACATTTATGTGTAGACTGTGCGTTTGTTAACACTCAATAGACAAATAGGCCTCGTTCTTAATATATATTTGATTTCAATGCAAAATATCAATAAGCTAATATACAAAGTATATAAAGGAGATAAAAGAGAGAGAGAGAGAGGAGAAAGGACAAAGAAGAGTGTTAAAATCATGAAGAGGGAGCGAGTTACAACACGAATACAATTTGTAGAACTTTGTTGGTAAGCTTTTGCTACCAACACACTGGCTACTGTATGCACGCGCTCTGTCTGTTCTTTGTTCATTCTCTTTGTGCCTTGGTAATGACTTGCGTGCATCGGCGTTGCACAGTGAGCGATTCGCTGTTGCAAGTATACGGGACTGGCAGTCAATGTCGAATGCGCAGAGTGCACTGACCCGTGAGACGCTACCGTAACGATGGTCGTTGACCGTGACTAAAACGATCTATTCATCGATTCATGTTTACATTGACACTTTAACGCATTTTTCGAGAAACAGTGTCATTCTTCATCACTGGCCAAATCAATCTCGCTGTTGCCTTAACGAACAAAAAGTGGATGAACATGTCATTGAAAGTAGCGGGAAGTTCTCCCGCGAAAATCGTAAACAAAGACGAGCAACAACAACAACAGGACTTCTCGTTGGGTCTTGATAAGGACGCCAGTGAGCACAGCATCTCTAGCATGATGTCCTGCGTGTCCATCTCGCCAAAACACGCGGAAAGCAGCCTGCGAGTTATGGAGAGCTACTTTCACAAACAGCAGCTAACAGACGTCACGTTGATTGCTGGTGAGTAAACTAGACGCTTTGTTTTAATAAATTAGCGCGTGCTATTTTTGAAATATGTAACTATGTAATTGATCTAGGACGATTTAAAACAGAAGATGATGGTTTATTTACGTCTGCAGAGCCAAATAAAGCATTAGCAGTTTATAAAATGTTATGGAAAATGTTATAAAAATATTCTCTCGACATTTATTAATAAGATATTTTTATCATTAATTTTTGTAGGAAATAGACGTGTCCCAGCTCATCGATTAGTACTCAGTGCTGGTTCTGAATATTTTGCTGCCATGTTTACAAGTTCCCTACGAGAGTCAGCACAAAATGAAATAGAATTAATGGATGTGGATGGAGATGCATTGTGGGCTTTAGTTCTTTATTGTTATACTGGTAACTTTTTTGAAAAAATCTTTTGATTTAAAACACAATCATAATATTATATTTTTTAACATAATATTATATTTTTTCTTTTGTACAGGTAGTATAGAATTACAAGAAGATAGTGTAGAGACCCTTCTTGCAACAGCTTGTCTATTACAGTTGAACCCAGTTATCAAAGCATGTTGTCAGTTTCTCATCAAGCAACTTCATCCAAGTAATTGCTTGGGTATACGAATGTTTGCCGATACACTAAGTTGCACAGAATTATTTGAACATGCACACGCATATACAACAAAACATTTCATGGAAGTTACAAAAAATCAAGAATTCTTACTCCTGTCTGCCAACGAAGTTGCCAAATTACTAGAATCTGAAGATCTTAATGTACCTTCAGAAGAAACTATTTTCCATGTAAAGTTAATTTGTTTAGAAATTTCATTAATATTAGAAATAAAAACACGTGAAAATAGTACTTCTGTTTTTTAGGCCCTTATGACTTGGTTGGATTATGATCGAGAAAATAGGAGTAAAGATGCTAGCAAATTATTAAGTCTAGTCAAATTACCATTATTATCACCTGCGGTAAGTATACACTTTACTAGTTCTTTTATTTGAAGTGTTTTTGTAGATTTAAAAAAAAAGTTTTTTTTAAATATACACCAATCTACCTACTAATATAATAACTTACATAATAAGTTTGTATGTATAAAAAAAACATCAACTGATAAAAGAAAATAGTTTATAGCTGACAATATTGAGAGCAACGAAATGTTCAAAGACCAAAGGATAGCGCAAGAATTAGTGATGGAAGCATTGAAATATCATTTGTTGCCTGAGCGAAGACCCTTGCTTCAATCAGGTAGAACAAAACCCAGGAAAGCTACTGTGGGTACGTTATTAGCTGTTGGAGGGATGGACATTAATAAAGGTAACTGATTTATATATATAATTAAATTTAAGAAAATAATGTAATAACTTATTAATCACACTATCTTAATTTATTTACTTAAATAACTATTGGTAAACTATTTAGGCGCGACGTCTATAGATGCATTTTCATTGCGCGATAACGCTTGGAGATCTCTAGCTACTATGAGTGCCAGAAGACTGCAATTTGGCGCAGTAATAGTCGATAAGAAATTAATCGTCGCGGGCGGTAGAGACGGTTTGAAAACACTGAACACGGTAGAATGCTTTGACTTTTCTACTCTTACCTGGAGTTCTCTGCCACCTATGAATGTTCACCGTCACGGATTAGGTACATGTATTATTAATAAAGAAAAATTTGTCAAGTTTTAACATAACACATAATGTATTTTGTTTATTCATAATATAATATGGCAAATATTTCTAAAATTAATTCAAAATTTATAGGAGTAGCAGTGTTAGGGGGACCCTTGTATGCCGTTGGTGGTCACGATGGCTGGAGTTTTCTTGATACGGTAGAGAGATGGGATCCGGCAACGCGCCAGTGGAGTTCGATATGTAACATGTCCATACCAAGATCTACGGTTGGTGTGGCTGTGTTAAATGATAAGTAAGCTGTTTGACAATTTTTCATACTCAATAAAAATTTTCACGGTCATTTTAATGCGTAATTGTTTGTGTGATATTTTAGATTATATGCCGTAGGAGGAAGAGATATCAGTTCCTGCTTAAATACCGTGGAATGTTATGATCCGCACACTAATAAGTGGACTCCGTGCGCACCAATGTCAAAAAAACGAGGGGGTGTGGGCGTAGGAGTAGTAAATGGATGTTTGTACGCAGTCGGTGGTCATGACGCACCGGCCACTAATCCTAATGCTAGTAGATTTGATTGTGTAGAAAGGTAAAGTTGCTTATCATGTTATATATTAGTGCAATAATAAGAATTAAATGTGTGTGTGAGATAAAAACTTGAAAAATTATATAAAATTATATAAATGTAATCTAACATGATATATAGATATGATTATAAAACCGATACTTGGACCATGGTTGCACCAATGAGCGTACCCCGAGACGCTGTTGGTGTGTGCGTGCTAGGCGATCGACTTATGGCTGTTGGGGGATACGACGGTCAACAATATCTCACGCTAGTAGAAGCTTACGATCCACATCTCAACGAGTGGGAACCCGTAAGTGTTAAAAAAATTATATTTGTCTCGTAATTTAAAAAATTGTAAATAAAATATTTACAAAAATGTTTAAAAAATATGTTTAAAGGTTGCGCCTCTTAAAGCTGGCCGTGCAGGACCCTGTGTTGTCGTCAAAAATTTAACTAGTGATATTATTTAGCTTATACAGAGCTAAATAATAGCTAGATCATTTTTATATGTATTTCAGAGATATAACAAAATTTAGTATCTTGTGATGTTGCATGTATGCTAAATGTAATTGATATTTTTCTAGAATAGTTTTCTCTATGATAACTGTCAGTAAGAATAAGTATTATTTTTTGTTTCGTGTGTAAGCAATTTTTATAACTTTTTTATACGATTTTTTAATATTATTATATTGTATCAAAGAAATTCCATATTATTGTAACCACCAAATATGTTACTTTACTGACTATTACTCGGCAATATTTGGAAATTTGTACATGTATAATACTATTTTTTTATTTTTTTAAATTAAGTTTTAATTAATGTTACAGTTGATTTTGCTATGACAAGTGGTTGTGTTAAAAAATGTGTTTGTATTTCTATATTTTTTAGACATAAAAGAGATATATAAAAAAAGAGTAAGAGACGCAAAAAAGATTTTTCGTAAAATACAACATGTAGAAATTCTCTCGTAAGAAATAACATTTTATATTTTTATGAATTATATGTATAGTCGAACTTTTTTGGTAATATTTAATAGCAACACATGCGTGCGCGGATGCGTGAATGAATTTATAATTAATGAAAAAACTTGATGTGCGCGACAGGAGGAGGATGATGGTGGAAAAAGGAAGATAATTATTAAAAAAAAAACAAAAAATCGCAATTGTTGAGAGATTTGACTGTATATAATAAATTATAGTTTACTACAAATGAGAAATGTAAAAAGAAGAGAAACTGCAAAAATATAAATACTTTTGATATTGTTTTTGTAATAAATTATACTGATAACTTTATAAACATATCAATGTCTACTATTCTTAATCTTTAATGAAAAAATGTGCACGTATACAAAGACAAATTTATTTTTCTTGTCGAGATAAATTGTCTTTATTTACACATTTATGACATATAGTTTTATATTTAATGTGGTTGTAACTGGAGAAATAAATAATTATATTACTAAACTTAAGAATTTCTTTTACATTATATTCCATAAGTTTACAACATTAAAAGTAGTTTTTACTTTTGTTTAACAAGCTGGAAAAGTCCTGAAATCAGAACATTATATACTACATATAATTTCAAAAATGTCAAAAAATTGCTAGTATATAGATATCAACAATTAAATTTGAAATATAAAAACATTGTATATGTTTTTAACATACCGTGGAAAATCTGATGCTGGTTCTGCAAACTTATGCCTGACCATAAACGTAGCAATAGCTTCTGCTACTTTATCCGGGACATCTTCGTGAACGGCATGTCCGCAAGCGGGTAATACTTGCATTTGAAATTTACCTATTTTTATTTTAAAAAACAATTTTTAATATGCTAGATGTGTTTCGTGATTTGCATCATAGTACGTAGTGTTACCTTGCATTTGTCCTACGGTAAGTTCACGATCTAATCTGTCGACTCCAGCTAACAACAACATTTTTGGAACCGATACATTTAGGAATGCTGTCGACAATCCCTTAAACCAGCCGAACCAATGCTGTTCCGTTTTTGCCAAATCTATTCTCCAAACATACTTTCTATTAGTAGAAGCAGCGGATGATGCAGGTGGGGGCGGTGGCATGGTGAGGGATTCTTCTTCTTGGATAACATCATCTCGTGGTATAACAGGAGCTGGATTAGATTCACATGTATTGTTGTATTGAGAATCAATATCATGAGTTGCTAATTTGCTAGTTTCAATGCTGAAAGAACACAAATTGTCACATATGACTCAATAAATGAACATAAATATTAATATAAAAATTTAAATATATTCTTAAGAACTCACTAACTTCTTTATCTGTCCAGGAACTGAAACTTTTGCGGATTGTATATTACGAATCTGTCCACTACGAACGCTGTGAAAAATAATCAACTAACAAACCTCCACTTAAAATTCTGTTTTATAAAAGCTTAATCTAAGTACTAACCACCATTCTATAGCCTGAGATATGGTGCTAAAACCAGATGGTCTGGATCTCAAAAAACTTTGCATGGATGCCAATGCATCCATCGCTGTACCTTCAACAACATCTATAACACCTAAGCCACACAAATTTGGAATTAGTGGAGCTGCTTTTACAGCTACAGCACCACCCATGCTGTGACCAAAGAGAATTATTGGAGTATTAAGCTCAACTGTTGCACCTATAATTGCTTCAACATCCCTAAATATAAAATAAGATTTTTAGAGATGTTATATATAAAGTTCTATATAAAAATTTGATTGTAAATAAAGCAATAAAAACTAGTAAAATATATATTTTACTCACGATGCTAAAGTATCAGCAGATAAATCATCGTCATCTGTAGTATGAGTATCTCCATGACCTCTGAGATCAATAGCCATTACTCTACATAAAATCATAGTCATGATTGACTTCTAAAAATTAATAAAAATATATAAATATATAAATAATAAATATATACGGCCCAGAAAGCCGGAGATTCCAGGTTCGACTCCTGGCTGAGGAGTTTTTTTCGCAATATTTTAAATCAATGAGGGGAGGTATTCGAGGTCTATCATATATGAGATGCAAAACTAGCATCCTATATGAATTTAAGAATTGAAATTTCAATTCGAAAAACACACGTGAAAAACGTGAATTTACTTATATATGTGCACACACATATAAAACATATTTTCCGCACAACATCCTGCGAACGGCTCCTTAAGACTTATTTATTCATTTATTAAGTTTAAAAAATATATAATTTAACATTCATTCATTTTTTTTAGCACATCATATTTGTGACACCTACTGTAAGTTCTGCCCATGTGAGCCCACTGTAACCACCACCATGTAATAAAACTAACAATGGTCCTTCAGTGCCTTTGATATAAACGTGAAAAGTATTTTTTCCAACAACCACATCTTTCGTATAATCAAAATATAGATTCCACTGCACTGGATCATAATCTCTTTTTCGCTGGAATCCTCTTGATTTATTAAGTCTTAAAAAAAAAATATTGAATCAATATAATTAATTGAAGGTCACATAACTTCTAAATTTCACAAAAAATTATAAGAACCTGGAATTCAACGCGGGGAAGTTTACAGTTGACGGTGGCAATCTGGATTTTAAAATTGACTTTTGAAGGGCGGACATATTAATGTTATCAAACGCTAATAACACTGGTATTGAACAATGTTGCTTGAATTCGTTGTTTGTTACGCGTCCAGTCACATGTGCAATTCGCGAGAAAGATATTCTATAACAAAAAAAATACGGTTATGCGTCTGTGGAGATGACAGAAGGAGCGTGATGCTAGGTATGTACTAAGTACTAGCAAAGAGAAACCTGAGAGCTGCCTATTGTAGTTTCTTACGACGGTTTCAGCAGCTGGTTTTAGCGCCATATTCACAAAAGTGGATCTCAAAGGCCGTTCTACATTAAACGCAAGTCGCAGATCTCGTGGAATTGAACAATCGCAGAGTCAAATCAGCCAATCGACCAACGTGATTGATCAGTTCCGCGAGACTTGCTATATGCGTTTAATGTGGAACGGGCTTTGAGATCCACTTTTGTGGATATATTCAGAGAGAAGCCTAAAGGCCGAAGCACAGACTTTTACACAATGCATAACGCATAGATATCCACGATTCATATCCAGCTTTTTGTTTTCATCCCTACTTCTTGTTCTAGAAAGCTTTGATTGGTTGATTCTCTTATGTCTTATGCGTTATGCAAAAGTCTGTGCTTCGGCCTTTAAGGGCCGAAAATAAAAAAAAAAAACCGTAGTATTTATCTCATTATCAGCTACAACTTTTATTTCAAGAAAAAATCGACTTTCGCTTTAAAAAATGGCTGCTATAATAAAATTTCAAAAGTAGCGCTATTTACAATTAAATTGATAACGTCATCATTTTTTCTTAACGCCATATAAACTTTTGTTTGAAACACTTTTTTTTAATGCCTTGCGACTAAAATATTTAAGTAATATTTCAGTAAAAAATGATGACGTTATCAATTTAATTGTAAATAGCGCTACTTTTGAAATTTTATTATAGCGGCCATTTTTCTGTCTAAGTTAAAATGAGACGCTCTGTATATGTACAAATTATAAGAACATAGTTCCAAATTTTTAATTTAGTCAACATAAATACAACTCATAATATAACAAAACATAATATCATAAATATATGATTGTTTACTTGGAAATTTTATTCTAAAATATTTATGAGAAATTCAGATATCGGAACATATGATTTCTCTCAATTAATGTACTAAACTACAAATAAAAAAACAAAGCGCAATAACTTTAATATTATTAATAAAATAATTTATTAATACGATAATAATTTTCATATTTTCTACATCTTTTTCAGAACATAAATTTTATTTATGTACACACACCCGAATTGTGAATGACAAAATCCACATTTTTACAGTATTAAAAGTAGCCAAATAGAACTTGTTTAAGTGTACAAAGTTAAAAAAAATAGGCCTTTACAAAAGTACAAGTTATATTTTATCGCAGTAAATAATACTGTTAATAAATAAATGTTTTCTGTAACAAAATACTTTCAGAAATGTCTGTGATTCGCTAATGAAAAAATATGATTACGTGTTATGAACGAAAAAACCCATCATCATAGAATATTTCTTAACTTGGATTGTTTTATAGAAACTTGGTGTTTTTTCTTAGAATATTTCTTGACCACATAGACAAAGTAATGTAAAAGAAATATCAATAATCTTCATTCCTAATAATCCATTTGTTAATAATCATGATAGTTTTTAATATATTACATTAGTACTACTGCAATATATGTCGATTATACATAAACACTTAATAATTTGTGTATAAAGGAAGCTCATACAAGTCTTCTTTATATACATAAGAGTAAATAGATAATTGTATGTTGAATTCTATACGTGCAAAATGTGAAACTAAAAATATAAGACAATATTGTGAAAAAAGAAAAAAGCAATTACCCTCTTCAAAATGAGAAAAAATTTATTATGTTTTTTTAAACAGCATATTTAATTTAAAAGCAACTGGAAGAGAAACTATTAATTCCTATCATTTTTTTTTTATGTATTAAACTATGTATATATATAATTAATAAATAGCTTTATAAACTGCCTCTCACATATAATGTATTTTTAAAGTATTTTAAATACTATTACGCTTTCTTCTAGATTGAGAGAGATAAAGATTAGATATTTAAGATATATTATCAGAGATATATATAAACATTATATGAACATTTTTCTTTTACAGAATGTCTGCTTGCATAAGGATTTCTGTCTGCAAGATCTTAGATCTAGCATCGTGGACACTAGAATTTACAAACAATTTCTTAGTCAAGATCAATTATTTTTCAATTGCATGTCTAAACAAAATTAGATTTTCCGAGCCTTACTACTATTACCTTAGTAACCTAGAAGAAGCGCACACGCAACTCGTGAAAAATAATAAAAAAAAAAATACTTTCAATATTCTTCAAAATTTTTTTTCTAAAAAGAGAAAAATAACTCTTTAAGAGTTGCAAAATTTGTAAGCGCATAGACATCCTGTTTTATTGTATATATATGAGAATACAAAATATTTTTAAAATGATATCAAATATTTTTTGTAGTCAATTTCTATTACTAAAGTTTTGAAAAAATACATATTTTGATTTGCAAGTGCTTAAAATTTGAATTATTGACCCAATCAAAAAGCGAATTATATATATATAATAGTAATTTTTTTCAAATATTTTGTTTAGATTTTGAAGAAGAAATATCTCTTTCAAATATGTTTTGGATAAATATTTTCTATATTTATATGCATGATTTCAACAAAAAAAAGCAAATTTTAAAAATATTTGATATCACTTTCCAAAACTTTACAGATTATCTGCAAAGAGCCCTAAAGTTTTACTGAATAATACCTGAGATATTCATCTTCATGATCAAACCTGAAATATATTTATCTAATACAAGATGATTTACACACAATCCAAATTCCTTTACTTAAAGTTTGAAACATACAAGAGACGGCGAGCATGATGTTTTGTTTTATTTGTGCTTCAGAGATGTAGAATAGCGATATTGATTTATGAGCCATCTCAATGCACAGGAATGATTTTGAGAATATATCGTTAAGGCTCAATTGATCCATGTTCATCGATTATTTACATTCAACAAACTACTAACTCTAGTCAGCCTTGCGTGGCTTACGTTTGCGAACATTAGGACTACTGGTATCTTCAGTATCTTTGTTCTTTTCACTTTCTTCGAGTTCATTTGATTCCTTTGTTTCAGGTTCTTTCGTTTCCTCTGCTTCCGATTCTTCCTCATCCACCAAATCATCCTCAATATTTTCCACAATTTCAAACTCATCTGAAGCTTTTTCTCTTGCTGAACCATCCAATGTGTCATTCTGTTTCTTTTTGCCTTGTTGCGGAAGTTTTGGTGGATAAAAGAAGTCAATCAAGCACACGATGAGCTATATACAAACATATAGTTAATGTTCTACTTGTTATTCATGTGTTTCATACAAAAATATATTACTTACTAGTCCTAATATCGCACCCAAAATAATTGTTGCGACAGCAAAAATCAGATAACTACCCCATGTAGGTAATCCAATTTCTTCTAAAAGTTTGTTATGAATAATCTGAAATAATGTATGATATAATGAAATTTGTTTCCACTGATATAACTTAATACACAGAAACCAAGACACTATTTACTTAGATTCTGTGAACAAAAGAGAATAACAAACATACAGAATTCCCTGCACTTACTCGTAATATTTGAGACAGTTTAAAAAATTGACTTAAAATTGACATATGGAATGAAGTTGGACTCTTCCAGCTAGGTATTGGATCTACTTTCTTCCATGTCTTCTGAACTATAAACTCAATCAAGGAAATTTTATCTCTTGGACTTTTATATTGTCTAAATATTCCATCATTTACACTAAAAAGATAAAAAACCAAGTTTAAATAAATTTTTCTTAGTTTTAACACATATCTAACAAACATCTAAAACTAAATATAAACTTTTCATAACAATAATAACTTTTTAAATAATAATTCTACAAAAAATAACAAAACTTGATTATGTATATATATAACTACAGACTATGTAACAAATAAATTACATAAATTTTTAATATTCTATAGCAAACTTACTGAAATATTGTAGGCAGAGCTGTAACCATAAATCTACCACTGAGACCAGGAGAATCAGTTACATCTATTTTTCCAACATTAATATTGAGCTCTTTCTTTTTTAATGCAAGATTTTCCCAGACTGGTTCAAGAGCTTTACATGCGGGACACCATGGTGCATAACTAACAAATATATTGTATAACGTATTACAATCTCCAATACATATGTACATATAATATATATATATAGTAATAATAATAATAATAAATAATAATGATGATGGAGATGATAATAATGGATGATGATGATGATGATAATAATAATAATCAGTAAAATGTAAAAACATTTTTAAGAGATATATAAATGTGTAAAAGAAATTCTTATTTTTCAGAAAACAAATATTGTGAGTACACATCTTTATTATCAATGAAATTACAGTCTATAAAAAGTTTTTATGTAGTACGTGTGTCTTGACACGCCATCAGTTGTGACGATGTTAACTCGTTTGGCTAAACTTACAATTCGACCATCCACTCTCCCGTGAGAATCACATCCCAGTTGTCCTCATTAAGCTGTTCCACTAAGCTTTCCTTCGTTTGTTGCTGCGTTATCGCGTTCACATACGCGAATAAAAGCGTGACGTAGACGATACAAAATACAGGACCTGTTCTGGCGAACGACATTTTAACAGTCCTTTAACCAATATTCACCGGCACGACGCCGCAAACACAACCTCTTCCGAATTCTTTTCGACTGTCGAGGAGGTTTGGGCCATAGACGTATAAGAAACAGAGATGCCAGTTCGTGGACTTAGTAAGCATTCAGCATCAAGTGGAGGGGATACGCACACAGGCGACAACCGTGTCCGTGTGCGCTCGGCGCTTCGGCCAATGGTTGGCCAACCACACGGACACGGCTGTCGCCTGTGTGCGTATCCCCTCCACTTGATGCTGAATGCTTACTAAGTCCACGAACTGGCATCTCTGATAAGAAATAGACTGCGCGTGTGAGAGGGGAAGTGAGTCAAACTTCGGAGTGAGACAGATGCTTTCACCCGAGTCTCTGTCTCTGTCTTTCAGCACCTGGAGTGGGGACTCCCCACTCGGAAGACAACTCCATAGAATGTCTATGCTGTCAATCGCCTACTGTCGCCCCTTCATCGCTCGATGCTCCTCTATTGCCCCACTACGCTATTTCTCATTCCTACTACTTTTCTTGTCCGCCAATCACCGCGTCACTAAACAAGGATAGAGACTCGGGTGAAAGCATCTATCCTCGTCCGAAGTTTGACCATTCTTTCTGCACAGAAAAGATACGGGACGCGCAGTCTATTTCTTATATGTCTATGGTTTGGGCACAGTACAATCAGAGATATAGGCGATTTTCAATCGATCAATCGATTCTTGAATCTTGAGTATTTTTTTTATTTTACGATCGATTATTTTCTCAAGTCGATTATATCGAAGTTAAGTATCGATATGGTTTCTCCTCGTTCGATGTCACTGGCTGCGTTCCGATATTCACTGCCAGTACTGAAAATCTATAACACGTGTGACGTAAAGTATAGATTTGTACTACTGGCAGCGAATATCGGAACGCAGCCACTGTGTATTGTAGCGCGGGACCAACAGATGGGGGATAAAGCAGGAAAATCTGGGGGAATCTGGCGTCTGGCGGTAGTGCGTGATAAACTTTCGTCGTTTCAGTTGGAACAAATTGAACAAGGTGAAGTGATGTACGTCGTTCGCAGTAGTGTTGATATAAAATATATTACGTATTACATTTAGTGCGGCGATCGTTGAGTCTCGATGTGCCTCGTCGATATTTTAATCTGGAAAACGTAATTCGTGTTATAAATTGTTTGCATCATAAGTTTACAGAGTTTGTTGTGCGAATTGACTCAGTGAATTGTGACGTGAAATAGTACTTGAGAGAATTTGGTGCGCGCCTTGTGTCTGGGGGGTATTTCGTCCCGTTTTATTTTCAGACAGTTTTATCGCGGCCGTTTAGAGATCGCGAAGGTGCATGCTACCCTAGATCCACCAGCGTATCTCTTAGCAGAGGATGTTGGATCGCGACACGGCGATACATCTCGTCGCCGGAGGGTGAGTATTATTTTCGACCGAATTGCGTGCGTGCGAGCGAGCGCGCGCGCGCGCGCGCCCCGGCTCTGCGTTGCGGCACTTCTTGCCACATTTTAAGATGACGACTTGTGACGCACTTCGATTTTATACGCGATCGCATTCGGCACGATTAATAATCCTTTTCGAGCCAAAACTTTCCTTTTCGCTCGAACGATTAAAATCAATCGTCGAAAGACCGCATTCAATTGAGACTATATGCGCGTATGTGCGTACATGTATCGATGATTATGATTATTTGTACATAGTACGTAGTTATTTGATTATCGTCAATTATGCAACTGTGAAAGAGTCGGTCTTTAACGCGTATATATATATATATCCATGGTGTGATGGATTTTTATACACATTATACATACGCAAGAAATGTACTACAAAGTCTCTTACTTGCCATTGTAACTATTTTTAGACGTGTATCACTCAGTGAACTCAGGTTAATCGGTTTGGTAGGATCGGCTCTATCGATACATATCGATCGAAAAATACACGAAACTAGGTATATATTATAAGCGAGATTTTGAAAGCTAAAATGACGTAGTACTGAACACCGATGCGTATTTATATTTCTTGCTTGTTTATGCACATGTTTACGTGATACATGTTATACACGATACGCGTGTTGTATATATAGTGCTCGAAAAATTGACAATCTATGTGTAATCAAATTGTTGATTAAGAATATATCGAGTCTACGTTGGGAAAATAAAGGATGCTTTGAAACTTAGAGTGAAAACTACATTACCTATTTCTATATTATAAAAATTTTACACATCAGCAAGCGAGAGAGAAAGAGAGAATATGTAAAAATATGTAAAAAGAAATTGCTACGCTCGATACACTCATATATATGATTATTTGATACTTAATAATAAACACAGTTATAAATTATTTTTTATACCTAAGGTCTTATTCAAACTTGTGCAAGATTGCATCCATTGATGCAATTCTATTTTGATATATATCTTGAAAGATGGTATTTGTTAAAGTCATGAAGAGAGAAAAGATTTGCAGGTTCTTCTTATATCAATAATACTTTTTTAACAACTTATTTATTTTTTATTTATTTAATGTCAAATGCACATGTTTATATGAGTGAGTTGAAATGAGCGTATTTAAAAAATCTATATAAAATAAAAATCAAGTAAAACTCGCAAAGAATACCATCTGATTGAATATAATGTGAAAGAGTGAGAGTGTAATATTTGAAACACAAATAGTTTTGAAAACTCTTGTTTCTCAAAACACATGTACACATTTGCGTGTGTTTTCACACAAGGTGCATAAGTTTGTAACATGCAACGCGGATGCGAATTAAGTTTGTAACATGCAACGCGGGTGCGAATTGGAAGCTAATTTATAGTTTATCTTTATTTTGCAGTTGATAAGATGTTTAACACATATTACACAATAACGTTAATTTTGAAGAATTAACTATCTAAAAATGTTTTAAGTATATAAACTCGCATATATAATTTTTAATAATAGTTATATATTGCTTTTTAATAAACAAATAAGATGAAATAATTACATATCTCGTGTAGTTATATATCTCGCTTAGTTTACTTGTATATCATATAAAGACATTATAGCAATTTAATAATAATAATTCTAGTGTATCTAGTATACTTTATAATTTTTTTTGAATTTTTTTGCGTAGAGTGGCTGGTACAGCAGGAGCAATAGTAACGTGTCCCCTCGAAGTAGTGAAGACTCGGTTGCAATCATCGTCTTCCGGTTTTTATCCGCCGCCGCCGATACACAAGGAATTCACATCTGGTCATCCCACTTGCAAGGATTCTCCGACGCCCGAACAACGCAGGAGATTATGCACCGGATACCCCAGGTAAAATAATTAAACAAAATACATATGCTAATTTATAGGCATAAATTTGATTCATGTGGTTGTTTATTTGAAAACACGCAAACCGAAAAGAAAAAAAGCGGTAATTTACGATTTTTTTTTAAATCCAGAGTAACGTCACGATATAATTGCGATTATTTACAGCGGATGACACAGATAAAAAATTAAAAGAATGAACAAAGCAGTGTTTTGTCATTTGCTGTGTTTTCTTACAAGTATCTTTCTTTTTCATTTCCAGATATTCCAGTCACTTCGTGGCTCTCTCACATTTCGGCGTCTCGACTTCTCCTCCGCACTCTTCCCGGCACACGCCGGGCATCTATCAATGCTTACGATATATTATCAAACATGAGGGAGCACGAGGATTGTTCAAAGGGCTTGGCCCAAATATTGTTGGTGTGGCGCCTTCCAGAGCGATTTATTTCTGCGCGTACTCCAAGAGCAAAGTTGCATTTAACGCAATTCTACCACCTGATACTCCGATCGTGCATGTTTTCTCTGCAACTTGCGCTGGTAAGAGAAAAATAGAGAATAACGATAAATATATTTTAAACAAACAAGGCTCATCAATATAAACACGCACTATTCGCAATATGTTCGACTCTTGTTTGTCTGAAATATTGTTTTATGTTTTATATAAACAAGTAACTTTCTCTGTGGATACAGTATCGCGTTTTTTTCTTCTAAATTCTTTACTACACGGCACACACAGACAAAAGGTCTATCCAAAAAAAAAAATAATCAGACTTTTATGTATGGAAGTATTATGCGTTATGTTGTTTTCTCTCGGTAAATCCAATCATGGAGCAACGTAATATGTACACGATGAATGAAAAAGTGTTCTGTACGTAGTTCGCGCGTTTATCTTTTATGAATTTATCGAAGTACGGATATCGCGTTGCGATTCTGACGCGCATCTCGAACTCTCCCGATGTCGATAACCCTTAGAAGATACACGCAGTACATGTACCTAGTGGCATAGTTACACAATTTACTTGCGCATTCTGTATTTTCAGTTGTATTTATATCAAATATCTATGGTGATACACACAAAATAATATGTATGCTATCTAAGACAAATGCGCGCGTGCATAAATAAATTTACTAATTATAATGCGAGAATATCTACACATAACTTGTGTAAGATCCATTGCAAGTGCAAAAATTTCGTATTCAAAATGGATTTTACAAAGTGGTCAACTAACTTCGCATCTTGTCTTGAATTGTTTTTTTTTATTTAACTCTAGAAAGTTGCCAGATGTTCAACGAATCTTCTTCTTTTTTCTCTTTTTTCTTCGTTTTTCCTCTTTGCCTTTTTTCCTTTTCCGCAATTTCTATTCTGCCTTGTGTTGAGCTGGCGAGCGAGAGAGTGTCTCTCCGACAACATACTTCTATTTTTAGACGTCCTCATCGCACGTAATTCAATGCCCGCTTTCCATACGTCTTGTGGCCGTATGAAGCGACAATAGCTCTATAGAAGGAATTATGCATCGCGCCAACCGCAACGGTGCAACCAGAATTGCATCACAATTGAAGATAACGCAGTAATGCAGGTTCGTTCGTGCGTGTTCCCTTAGCGCGCCGTTCTCATTTTGAAAAATACTTGACGATTGTAAATAGTTCCGCATTTTAGACACGCCATCGGAATTTGTTACGCGTCGCAGTCACGTGTTACATTTCCTAAAGTTTTCAAAAGTTACATCATGAATCTCTGTTTATTCTATCAGATATCTAGTGAATTTTAAATAAAAATAGTTTCATTCACATTGTGTGCGAATTAGATATCTTTCAATATTTCTATATAAACAAATTTTATGACAGCCATGATTTCGTTTCATGTATCAGTTCAGTATATATTTTTATTGATAATTTGTTTTATAATATATATTTATGTTATTTCAAATTGCTTTCGAATTTACTAGTTTTATTTGAAAAACACACAGAGCGTGAGATCGCAACAAGGACGTGTTTTACGGTCGTATTTTGTAAAAGCGTCAATAAATAATAATTTTTTGGAAATTAAAAGAAAAAGCTTCTTAAACTTTTTATTTTGAATCTTGAGGGAGTGTGTGATATACATATATATATATATATTTAAATATGTATATTACATAATTATATTACATATGTATATATACATACATTGAAATATGTATGTTATATAGTCAGAGGGATATGTCCCATGTTCATTCAATGTTCCATTCATGTTTTATGTCGTCAGTGTTCTTAAACCGGTTTTTGAATCGTTGAGTCGCAAATTTCTGCCTTCAGAAGTTCAGAACAAAGAGCCGTAAACAAGTCGTGCATGCACAATATAAAGTGCACGCTATACGATTCTTCCGATTACATAACTCGTATATTATTCACGAGTCCTCTCAGACAGTGCATGTTGTGATACAATGTTCCGGCAATCTTTTACAAAACAGATTAATGACAAATAGTAAATTGTCTCAGTAATACACAGGATCTTCAAGTGCATACAACTATCTACGCGAGAACAATTAAAATTATTATTTTTTTTTAAATAATCTAAATATGCAATGTAAACCTATATAAGTTCTTTCTGTTTATTGAAAAGATAAAATATCTTGAATCTATTCCTTGGAAAAATAAAGCATGTAAGCATATTCAGTAAACAATTGTTTATTCTTACAGGTTTTACCGCGTGTACACTGACTAATCCAATTTGGTTCGTGAAAACAAGACTACAGTTGGATCACCGATCGCAAAAAGTCACAGCAATAGAATGCATGCGAAGGATATATCGGAAATCGGTAAGATAATAGATCATTTTTCTTATTGCAATTTACATGATTCAGACTTGACAATTTATTTGCATCGTGAAATTTAAATATAATATCACTGATATACGTATATTCTAAAACCTCTTAAAATCCATAATTCACACACATACGATAGATTTTATTGTATGAAAAACTAAGATATCTTTCTGGTAATTTTAGGATTAAGAAAAAGATATATAATATATACTAAGGGGATGAATACAAAGTATCGCGGTACAGCGAAAAATCTCGAAAACGATTAACTCTAACAAAAAATATGTAAGAAGCAATGTTGTAAGATTTCAAAACATGTATCTACTGGTGATAAGAGGTTGACCTTGGATAGAGTCTGCAAGGTTATATAAAGGTCAAGTTGAATTTTTTTAATGGGACTATTTTTTTCAATTTTATGTTTCTTATAGCTTATTTCAAGAACTTTTCGAAACACTATAATAAAATATTTTTTCATCAAGTACTTCTCGAGTTATAGGACTTGAAAGTTGAAAAATTACCGGTATTAGCATTATTCACGGTGCATCGCATGGAGGTTGCATGTTCGGATTTACACTTGTGTGGGGGAAGGGAGAGGGAGAGGGTCAGTAAAAATAAGGACCCTACGATTCGTCACTACGAAAGTGTGTAAATCCAAACATGCACTTTCACGCAATGTACCTTGAGTAATTCTCTAACTTTCAACTATAACTCGAGAACTAGTTAATGAAAAAAAAAATTTTATTATAGTGTTTTAAAAAGCTCTTGAAATAAGCTATAAGAAACATAAAAAAAAATAGGGAGTTCCATTAAAACAAAAAAATTCAACTTGACCTTGTAGACTCCACCCAAGGTCAACTTCTTATCACCAGTAGATATATTTTTTTAAGTCCTGTACTAAACGAACAGCAAGCGCGAACGTTTGGACATTCGCATTTGTGTTCTGAAATCATTTGTTACAATAGCGAACAGCAGAGAACAGCACGTATGCGCATCCATATCGCTCATGAATTTTCTCTGATGTACCGCCTCATGAGGGAACCGAATGCGAATCAAATCTTCTGTTCGCATTTGTTTTGGCGTATACATCTGACGAATGATAGTAACTAACGTTCGCGTTTGCTGTACGTTCGGCGTTCCTTTGCTATGTGTATACCCAATTTTACATATTTTTTGCTAGAGTTGATCGTTTTCAAGATTTTTCGCTGTACTTTTTATTCTCCCTGTACATATACATATATGTATATATGTATATACATATATACATATGTACATATGTACACATATACATATACACATACATATATATATATATACACATATAACTTTTTCTCTCTCTCTAGATTTTCACTGGCAATTTCTCAGTATTGTTTGGCGCAAAACATAATCGTATTTATTGATCAATCAAATTTTGTTGGCGTCGCCGCGGTTAGAACTATATATTACATTGCTCGACGAAATGGTAGTGCTGCATGTTGTTATCAAAGCAGAAGAAACCGACGAAACGACATTTAACTATCGTGCAAGGACGTCAATAGAATATTTTGGCGAATGTGTAACCCGCAGCCAAGATTATTTTCTTTCGTTCGGCACGATAAACACAACACTTGTGTTTGCGTGAGCTGAGTAGATATAAAATCTTATTGGATATAGAGATGATGTAACTATTTTTTAATAGTTCTCAGATGCAAACACTGAAGATTCCCTCGAATTGAAGAAGTTTATTGGTTTATAGTTTGTAAAATGTTCTCGTTGAGGAAGTGCGAGCAGCATTTGATGATATTTGACGCGTCAGTAAATCTATTATATTTTTTTCTGATCCATGTAAACAAATCTATTTGTTATCTTTTTTTTCTATTTTATAGACGTGTATCGTCGATATTGTTTATTTGTAGCAAGTACATGATTTATATCCATACGTGTTAAAATTGCACTCGACACATCGAAGTCGAGCCAGCTTTAATTTCGGAGCCATGAACTACAAATAGTATACCTAGGTAAAAATATCTTGGAAAATACCATCCTAAGTTAAGCAACGTTCGCGTAGCAAACAGCTTTCTATAAATCGTACTTTACCTTATTTTTTATCATATAATACATTTATTACGTAAACCCTGCTCATAAAGTTAAAAATCGGAACTCATGTAAATGTAATGAATTAGTGTATTCGTAAACAAAGCATTTTATATAATACAAATTATAGATGCGTGGAAATATATATAATATAAATTAAAAATATATGAACGTTAGAGACAAACAAAAATTAATAAGTTTAATGTTAAAAATTGGTATAATAGAAGGATTTGCGCATAAAGAAAATTTATAAAGTTATAATAAAGTAATTTTTTATTAATAGCGTAATAATAAAACCAGTCAAAAAATAAGAAAAAAACCACGTATACAAATATTATACAGATTTAATACAAAATATATTATTAAGAATTTAACAACATAATTCTTAAATTTTGCTATTGTAAAAATCTGCTATCGGGAGATAATTAACATATAAGTTAGTGAGAACTATCAATGTGGTATATCAAAACTTTAAATAATCTGCATAATTTGTGTTTGTGATTGTAGCATTGCCAAGGTGATAATTACGGAATTATTGTTTTATCTGAATACTCACTTTTATATATCAATTTTTTATATCAATTTATTATCGTTTCATTACTAAATAGCTCGTACGATTCCAAATTTATTTTCAGCTTTCTTATCAGAGATATGGATACTCATTTCAATACTATGCTTAACTGAACATGCAAATGTCACGTGTTCTCTCTTTTGAACTCTTGAATTCTATCTATGTGTATATATATAAATAAAAAGTGTTACACTGTTTTTTATCTTATTGTTATTATGTTACATTGCATTAAGAGATTCCATATATCAAAGTTGTGTTATAAAAGTTACGTTGTAAAATATTTGATAATATTATTAATGTGCTTATTATGTTCATATATTGTTATAATTGCGCATATATCGTAATTGTCTTTTTTACAGGGTATTCTAGGATTCTACAAAGGTATTGTGGCGTCTTATATAGGCATAAGTGAGACTGTGATACACTTTGTGATATATGAAGCGGTGAAGGCATGGCTGGCTACACACAGATCGCGAGCTTCGAGAACGGATGACAGTAAAACATTCCGTGACTTTGTTGAGTTCATGGCAGCAGGCTCGTTTTCAAAAACGATAGCATCTACTATTGCTTATCCTCACGGTAAGAGAATTTTTAAAATTTTCATATCTCAATACAACTGTAATCTTGTGTCTCTTATCTCTTGCAGAAGTCGCGAGAACTCGGTTGAGGGAAGAAGGCACTAAATACCGCTCGTTTTGGCAAACTTTAAATACTGTGTGCATGGAAGAAGGCGTAAAAGGTCTTTATCGCGGTCTTGGTACTCAGCTGATCCGGCAAATTCCGAATACCGCTATCATAATGGCAACGTACGAGGCAGTGGTGTATGTACTAACTCGACACTTCCGACCAGTTACAGTGACATCTACCGCCGACGCGACATCCGAATTCTATAACGAGACTAAGGCAAAGAGAGAATTAGCCTAGGACTTGCTTACGGCCCCAGAGTAAAGGGCCAATCTGTCATCTGTTTCCCTTTCAGTAAGCAAATACTGCGCGTACTCAGGGTACTTAACCTAAGAGATCTAATGCGCGTCTAGGTACATCAAGAGCAGTTCGACGTTGGAAACATATTCGATGTGTCCTTATTATTGCTCCAGATGTAGCCAGAAGGTACCACAGCATTGTTCGCATTATGCTCTAAACATGTAGCAAAAAGTAGCCTTCCTCCTTTCAGGTAGCATGTACATACCCGGACACACGGACCGACGCAGGGAGAGAGAGAAAAGAGAAAGGGGAGGAGGGAGGGAGAGTAGGAGGGTAGGAGGGGGAGAGAAAGAGAGAGAGAGAGAGAATGAAAGAGTACAGAAGAGTGCACCATATCGTGCGGCTCCAGGGGAAGTATTTCTCTGAAATTTCTTTTCTGGCTACTCTTACCACACGCCATTCTTCTTCGCCAGCGGCCCGAGATTGAAGAAGAATGGCGCGCGGTAGTAGAGACAGCCGGAGAAAAAATTTCCGAGAAATACTTCTCCTGGAGCCGCACAATATGGTGCACTCTGTATATGTTTAATGTGAGATACGCAAAAGCTGAGACTTGACGTCGCGAAAACGCGGATGAAGATTATGAGAAAAGGCTTACGTTACATTTTAATAAAGTTTATTCGAGACAAAACAATCCTTTTTGTTCTAGAAACAAGTATTTCTAAGTCTAGAGCTCATGAATATATTACCATAAATTTCAGATTTTTTGCTTCCGATATTATTCTCTTCGACTTGTAGTTTATTTCTTTGCATCTTGTATGTTACTCTTTTCTCGTTTATGAATTAAACAATTATGAGACACATAAAGCTACAAAATCTTTACATTGTAGTATATATCGTGATGTACATCTTATTCGTGTTACTGTGTTATGGTGAGAAATAGCAGTACAATAGTGATTTCTAATTTTGCGAATTTATATGTCAGGTGTTTGGCAGTTTCAAGTCTATTGAAATGCGATGTTTTCGCTAAAGAATTCAATTTATTTTACTGGTATTGATTATAAACAGAATAATAGTTACGTCAGAAGTAAATTTATATGTATTCTTTCAAAGATTTCGAAACTTCTACATTGATCCTATTAAGATTTAGATGTATGTTTGTATGTTTGTATGAAACTATAAGATACTTATATTTCAATATTGAATGTAAACAAAAACTTGAATGTGAGCGAAAAAATGTTGCAAAAATAATACATGTATCTAAAAAAAAAAAAAAAATTATCTATATATTTTATATCGACTATAGTCACATAATAGTGACAAAATCAATGATTAAACTTGAAATCAATGATTAAATTTAAATATATTATATTTAATAGCCATAAAAAAGAGAGATGTAAATATTAAAACAATCCGATCTTACAACTCTTTTGTTTTGTTTACATTTTTGTTGCACAGATAATATTTGTTATAAAATTACATAAAGAGTTATTAGAGTTACTATCAAGTTTTTCTCTAAATTTTTATTTAATTTTGGTTAGTTTATATTTTTATGTATTGCGATATTATATTTTCTTATATGTTTTTCAGTAATCAATTTTGCTATATTTTGAACTTGTAGGTTTTTTCGTCGATATTCCGAATGTGATGCATATAAGGTGCGATAAAAATGCGATGATTCTTGGTGTACCTACGTAACATTTTACATAACTTGCTTTAGAAAAAGCGGCAATATTAATATTAGCAATATCAGTGCTTGTAAAAATATCTAAAGTGTAGTGACTAATAGTTTTAACAGTTTCTATTTTCTTTACGTATGTAGGACAAAATGTAGCGTTCTGTATGTATCAGATTACAAGCTGTGGCTGTAAATTTACGAACGTTTCTCATATTGATTTATTAGCTGTAATATCAAATCATAAGATGCTTAAGAACAGAGTCCAAAAAGTATTCAAAAGTACGAAGATATGAGATCACTATTCAAACATATTTAGCGTATGATTCTTGAATCTATTCTAGCATATAAAACAGTTTTTTGTGTTCGTTATTATTCATTTCTTGAACGCCATACCGCGACTGTGCCAACGATGCTGTAGCTAACTGTAAAAAAAGGTACTAAGACACGGTTTGTTGAGTTTCTTTCTTTTATAGAGATTACTGTATGAAAATAAATATTAGTTTTTGGTTTTTTGTGCAAAAAATACATGATAACTGTTTAAAAAATAATGTTCTCCATTCTAGTTTTATTTTTGTATAATTTTTCCATGATTTTCTCGTTGAGCGATAACAAATTGTAATCTAAATGGTTTAAATAGTTTATGTTAAATAATTGTTTTTTTTTTTTTTTTTTTAATATATGCAATTTCACATTTGTACGTTGATGTATATTTTTATATCTATTATATGTATAGAGAGAAGGAGAAGAGAGGAGAGGAGAAAAAAAAAGAGAAAGGAAGATAGACTTTTTTCTTAAATACCGATAATATTTACGATTTTTTATTTCTGTATATGTATTAATTTCTTGACATATTAAATATATTAATATTTTTATATATCACTCAAATTAAATTTATATATATTTGATTTGTGTCATATGACTTCAATGAATGAGTTATACTCTAAAAACTTTACGGGTTATTCTGTAAAAAATTAATCATCTTATATTTGTGTGTTACTAAGTTAGTTAACACATCAATTTTTTTTATTGAAGTTTGAACAAGAGAATCGAGAACGTTATAAACTGCAGTAAGGTTAACACATACATTAGATTTTACTGGTTTTATAGATCTTCCTCCATACTATACGTAAAAAGAAGCTGTGATTTTATTTTACTAGTAAAACTTAGTGTGCTTAGCAATTAAGCAATATAACAATTACACATTCATACGTAGAGTTTACATTGTTCTACAAGTCGCGCATAAATTGAGTGTACAAGATATAGAGATATAGACAAAGATATAAACAAATCCTTGAACAAATTTGTTTTTTTACTGATAGTAAAGGATTTCTAAATCGCATAATATGCAGCCTGTAGAACATTGTATATCATTAATACTATTGTTAACATCTTGTTGAGATGTGGTATTGTTGGTTAATTGTAAATATATGTAAAGAGTGCAAATTTTGAGTGCCAGATTATTGTTAATTAGTGTTATTAGTCATTATATTATAAGAATATTGTGCATCTCTTAAAAATTCACAAAAAAAATGAAAATCAGATATTGTGCGTGTGTGTGTGTGTGCGCGCGCGCGCGCGTATGTGTGTATGTATATATAAAGCATGTACATATTTTAGATAAACAGTCATCTTGAAAAAGAATGAACTTATTTTGAAGAAGACTGATATGTACAATTACATAGCACAGCATCGGTAGATTAAAACATAAGTGTAATACATATACAAGATCTTTGTAATAAAAAGCACAGTCTTAAAATTTAATCTAAGTTTCCGCTAATGTTATGCACATGTTGAAACAGACATAAAAAATTTCTTTTATCTTTATAAACAAACTATGTGACACAAGGTTTTAGTTCAGATTAAAATATAAGCAAATATCAATTCAGATCGACACACTTTAAAGCTGCTTAAAAAAATATATAATTTTTATCTGCTTTGATGAGCAATCAGAACAAGCTTTATAGTCGATAGATTTATTGCATACTATCGTAAAAGTATAATTCACGCAAACATTCAAGTAATTTAAATCTAAGTAAAGATATTTCGGGATAATCAAGATGTTATCGAGAGCAATCGAGCATTATCAAAGTATTTTCTCATAAAAGGATCGTAGCGCGAGTGCCATTACACTGTTATAGAATATCTTTATATATGTACAAACATTTATTTATGATATTTCTGTAAGAAAGCTATATATTGACAGCTTATAAATTTTACGTTCATTTATCTTACAGTATATTACCGTGCTGATGAATACAAAAATTTCTGTATATTTAAAGTCAATAAAAAAATCAGAAATTAAATTTTTCATTGTACTTAATAATAAAAGTATGTATAACAATTTTTCAATTTTATGTTTTTACACAAATGTAGATAGGTGGTAGGTAGATAGGTGCAGTTGTGGCTCGCACCTGTTATATCATTGGCTGTGTTCCGAGTTACACATATGCGCGCATTTATCTATACTTTACGTAACGTGTACTATAGATAAATGCGCGCATATGCGTAACTCGGAACGCAGCCATTTCTTAATCGCTGTCCGTGTGCGCTCGTGGAAAGGCCGAAGCACAGACTCTTGTATAATGCATAACGCATAAAGAGCCGTCTACAATGGAGAGTTGTAAGCCGTAACAGTAAGAAATTGACAAATCACAAACGATTATTCTTCTGTACTTTGTCTGTGATTGGTCAATTTCTTACTATTACGGCCTACAACTCTCCATTGTAGACGGCTCTTAAGACATAAAAGAATCAACCAATCAAAACTTTCTAGAACAAGAAGTAGGGATAAAAACAAAAAGCTGGATTGGTTGATTTTTTTATGTCTTATGCGTTATGCATTATGCAAAAGTTTGTGCTCGGCTTTGAGACAGGGGCTGCGTTCGAAGAGCGCGCTATCAGCGCTGTCGCATCATTCTATTTTTATTACTCATTAGATGTAAAACAAAGATAAAATGACGCAATAGCGTTGATAGCGTGCTCCCCGAACGCAGCCATAAAGGCCATCAAGGCCATCACACATAAAATTACTTAAGACCGTAAAACGTAGCCGTAAGAAAATTGACCAATCAGAAATTTCCGTCCAAAAGTGATGGGGGACATAGTATACATTCTGATTGGTCAATTTTCTTACGGCTACGTCTTATGGTCTTAAGTAATTTTGTGTGATGGTCTTTACTATGCTAAAGTGAGACGGAAAAAAACGCGAGAAAGAGAAAACATTGCCCAGGCGCGCCTGAATATTTATTCGCAACGTACACAACGCGTCAATGAATCGCAGCATAGGCGCGGAGATCGGGGGGCAAGCGGGGTGGTTGCTCGTAGCGCCAACAAGCGCCGTACTAACTAACTAGTAGCAATCGGGTGTCCACAACTACGTCGTGTCGATAATGTAACTGCTCTTTCTTTCTAACCGCCCCGCTTGCCCTCCGATCCCCGCGCCTATTCTTCGAATTAATGACGACGTCTGTACGTCTGATGGACAAATGTTAATTAACGAATGTTCATATCGGAAAAGAATAGTTGAAATTATAGATACAGAGTTTTTTATTTTAATTTATGCTCTAAAATATTTTAAGAATAAGACATGGAATAGAAAAAGGTTTTGGGAAAAAAAGTTTTAATGTAACCGCATGCGCACAAAGCAGCTGGACCGTGCGCGAGAGAGAGAGATACGTTTGCACCGTCGGTGTTCTCGGTGCTAGCCGGTCAGAGTTTGCAACTCTGACTGTGAGATTAAAACAAAATGGCTGGAAGTGTAATGAATAGAATAAACATAGCTTTCCGAAAATTTGAACTAACAATACAGACAATTTTTGGTCATGGTTTTCCTCCAGGTAATAAAATCTTTACATATATATATATATATATATAATATACATACATATATTATACACAACTTAGATTATAAAAGTATATAAACAAGTGAGTTGCTACTGAGCCTCTCGGTGAACATGTACTGTCAAATGTACATCACATTGCGAAGATATTAACATCAGCGTACCTAATATATTGAAAAGGACCTAATAAGAAAGTCGAAACGTTTATTATACTTATGCTTGTCAAATAAATCAACTTTTTACGCTTTCACACAACAACACCGGTGTCTTGCTCCAACTGCCTTATCCACACTATTGTATATAAACAAGTTTATAAATCTTTTTGTTATTAAAAACTTTTATTAAAAACATTTTTAAAACTTGTTATTAAAAACATTTTTAAATTGTAGGAATATCACCATGTGTAATTGAATGCAACAGTGTTCTAAATGAACCAAAACCAGTTAATCATTTAGGTAGCCAATCTCTAAAAGAAATTCTTGAGAATGGTATCTTATGGGCAGTCCCAAAAAAACGACGCTCTTTAGAAAAAAGACTTCAAAGAAAACATGGAATTATGCATTATCAATTTAAACCATCTCTTCCAAAAAAAATATTAATGTGTCCAAATTGTGGTCATAATTATGAACCTGGTCGTTTATGTGGTAAGTTGTAGTAATACTTTGTTTTCAGAATAAAATTTGTGTACACTTACATACGTACTGTTATACATATATGTTTACATGTATATACTATTTGTGTATACATACATACATATAAGTTGAGAAACAAACTAACAGTTAATAGTTAATAGTTATAGTTTTAGATATATAATAAATACTTAATAGTTTTAGATATATAATAAATATATAAAAATGATTTAGAAACTAGTAAGATATTTGTAGCAATTTACCTTTAATATTTCTTACCTAGGACATTGCTATGAAAAAATAAAAATTGAGACTAAAGAAATGCAAGAAGCCATTCAAAAAGAACTAGATCTTAGTCCTGTAGAAAAAGATGTGATAGTGTTATATGATGGAGAAAGAGATGCTAAAACAGAAAAGTTTTGGAAGGTATTAAAATTCTTTTATTATTGATATAGAGATGTTTCCATGTTTTATATAAATATTTATATTTGTTCTATATAAATAATATAAATTTACGATTCTATTCAGAACCAAAGAATAGTCGAATTACCAAAGAAAAGACCTTCATGGTTTCATCGAAGTTTACTTGAGCCTACAACTGAGGAATCTACCTCAGATAAAAAGGACATTAAACCTACTCATCTTGTATAAAACTTAAAATCATGTTTATTGGAATAGAGATGTTAAACTAAATTACATTGTACTGTGTAAGTAGTTCCAATGAATAAATTGAATAATAAAAGTTACAGCTAAAAATTTTGTAGAAATTTAATACACATTTTGGTACTCTAATGATTTTCTATTTTAGTTTAAAAGATTTTTTTCAATCTTAAGGCTCAGCTTTCTCTCGCGGTTATCCTTGATTTGATAAGACCGAGGATGTCACACTAAGAGTTTTTTGTCATTGCCTCAGTTTGTGCTTTAACCTAACCTAACCTAGAAAATATTATAAAAAATTTCCTTTAATTATTTGATTATAAAATAGCTTTTCTTTGGAAGTTGAGGACCGCTGACACATCTCGAAAACAGTATCATACCTGAGCATGCCTGATCACCGATAAGGAAGCGGGAACCGTCGCCGAGTATAAAGGAAAAATGAGGCATGGCAGTTCAGAAATCTGCTGAAAAGTGCAACTAAATCCGAGCATTAAATTAGTACATAAAGCTATACAACATAAGAAACTTTTATTGTGATTTGCACCCTCTTGACATCATCAAAATAAGAATAGCAGAGAGAGGGAAAGCCGAGCCTCAATATACGTAAATCTCGATAAAAAAATCTGTTGAAAACAGACAAATTTGTCATCAAAAAGCAGTTACCTCTCAGATTATGCAACTGCTGTCATCTGCTGGCGTATTTTTTCATTTTGCTTAATAGATATATTTAGTGTGCAATATTATGTAAATATAAGTCAATTTTCTTGATATAAAAATAACTTGATATAAAATAACTATCTCTTCGCATTTCTATGATTATGTTTGGGCACTTATGCGTTCTGCTTAATCTTTTTATTGTGCTCATTAAATGTAAGACAAACACAGACAAACATTTAAAATGCATAAGTGTCTAAACTGGACCTAGCCTTACCTTTGTTTTTATACAATAGTTTCGTTTTTTTGTGTTTTTGTAATTTTAAATCATTATATCTATTTTAACTTAATATTATATGTAGCCCTAGGCTGCGTTCGGGGAGCGCGCTATCAGCGCTGTTGCATCTTTCTATCTTTATTGCTCATTAGATTTAAAACAAAGCTAGAATGACGCAATAGCGCTGATAGCGTGCTCCCCAAACGCTGCCCTATTTGCATTTATTCAAACATATCTTAAGTATGTGAGTATGTGTGTGTACTATATTGAAGAAACCTCATATATCAACGTACCAAAAAAATCAGTTCATGAGCTCGAAATCTTTTATAGATCCATCCTTGAGGAAATGATTCAAGACATGTTCATGGTAGTCTTCAACTGAGATAGAGCTTCTAGTAATTCCGCATAACGGACATGTAGTGAGACCTACATCCATATCATCATTGAGATTACAAGGTTTTTCAATAGAAAGGCTAGGTGTCATAAGACTAGTTTGAATAGCTTCATGCTCCTTGAAACTATCATCAGAATCAAATTGTGTACCAGTTTGGCACATTGCTTTACTTGTATTCTTTCGACAATTACTACATGTTGTTCCTAAAAAATATATGAGGAATGTTTATCAAATTCTAGAAATTTATACAAAAAAAACTTAACATATTTTGTGATTATATATATAATAGTCATCAAAAAATACAATGAGCAAATAATACAAATCGTTACAATAAATACAACTTAATTGAATCAGAAATGATTCGATATAAACTTTCCACTGTAATCTTATCAATATACTTTCATTCTAAGAATTTTGCAATCACACCTCGTACATTTCTTCTAAACTTAACAAAATACTAGTCTTTTCTATATTCTAAAAATCTTTGCAATGCATTCTAAAAAAAGAGAAGAGAAAATATTTTAGATTATGATTACCTTTCAATACTTTAACATTTTGTAAAATCTTTTTTAATCTAATTTGTTGTCCAAGTAAAGCATCCTTTGTTTGGGACAACCGATTTTCATGTTCTTTTAATTGCTCTAATGAGCTTGTATCATGATCTTCTGGATACGTAAAACCAATATTTTGTAGATTTAGTTCAGAATTCTTGTGTAACTCCACCATCTATAAATACAAACAAAAAATTAAAAAAAAACAGTCAATAATATTAGAAACAAATAATTTTACCTCTGCATATTGTTGTTCAAGATCACACTTTTCTAACATAATACTATTCATTAATCGAAGGGATATTTCTTCCAAACTTCCAAGTTCTTTTTCATCTAATCAATGAAAAGTTTAATTAACAAAAAAACTATATATGTATGAATATACATATATACACGCATGCGCGCGCGCACACACACACACGATATTTGTATTTCTCACTTTTACAAACCACCTATACAAACCATCTGTAGTTAATAAATATTTTTTAGGAACATCCTGTTTCCCTGAACTAGAAGCATCAGTAAAATTATAAGGCATGATATCAGATGCTTGTGTAGGAGGATGCTGCTTAAGTGTATCTGAAATTTTTGTCAACTGACTACCTAAGGATTTATTAGTTTTTATCAATCTTGTTAATCTGTTCCACAACTGACGATTTTCTGTGGCTACCATGATAATACGATGTGTTAACTGAGATTTCTGCTTTGTAAGCTCTTCTACTTTCTCCTATAATTCAAAATTGCAAGTCAATATTTAAATGCACTTGTGCAATATAATAACTTGCCTATAGTATATTTAATGAAAAAAAGATTTGTTATTTTTACAAACATGTAAAAGTTTTAAATCATTTCTGTCACCGCTATTATCATTGACCACAGCCATGGCCATACTTTTGTTACATTCAAGCCTAAGACACTTGTTTTCCTCTTCGACTGCTGCCAGTCGTGTTTGCAATTGTTGACAACGTTCTTTCATGGTTTTAAAAGCAGCCACCAATGCGTAATTTGATTCAAAGATATCATCCTGTGAATTATCAACATCCATCCTAAAATTTTAATGAACTTTGAGGTATCTCATTCTGTATAAATGTTTACAAGTAACAATACATATATTTCTCATTCTGCGCTTCACAAATTGTTGCAAATCTTATTACTGCATTGTCACATACTTGTTTTCTTATATATTTAATATGTCTTCAACCTCCCATGAGGTTTTTTAATACACTCTTCTTATTCTTTACTTGTGTACTTCCTTGTATATCGATAATTGTTCGTTATAAGTATAAGGTTAGATAACTTTTCATTCATATACATCAGTGAAGTCTACAAAGAATATACATTCTCACATCTGTTTAGCAAAGCACTTTGATTTTAGATACAAGTTAGATTTTGCCAAACCATTTGGAGATAGAAAAAAAGAATGGCTCGTGATCTGAAGTGATGCTTAGTGTAATGGGGTGCAACATAACAAGATTATATTGATTAATATTTGTGCTTATAGATTATATACATATAGATAATACATACCTATACATATATACATACATATTTTTAATTTTTCTTGATTAATTATTGCAATAAAAAATTAAAATATTTATTTACTGTACTTTATATCTGTTACTTTGTGTATACTATGTATATACTCTGTGTGTACTCATTTCTGTATTTTCTTTTTACATTAAGCCCCTTGCACAATGGAAGGAATAGCAATAGCGATAGAAATAACACAGTTTTTAAGGCCCATTCTACAATAAGATATTAGTTTAGTCGTAAGCTGTAAGTCGTAAGAAATGAACCAATCACATTCGATTATTCTTCTGTAATTTGTCTGTGATTGGTTCATTTCTTACGACATACAGCTTACGACTAAACTAATATCTTATTGTAGAATGAGCCTAACACACAGAATTCCAACTCGTCGGAAATTTTATCGCTATTGCTTATTCCGATTTTCTGATCTGCATTGATACATGTGTAGTTTTGTATGTTAGATTCCGCTGTTCCTACCTTTATTTTTAAATATAAACTCTTTAAAACTTTTGTTATTTCTATCGCTATCGCTATTCCGTCTATTGTGCAAGAGGCTTTAGTCCAAATAGTCTTAAGGCCATCACACATAAAATTACTTAAGACCGTAAGACGTAGCCGTAAGGAAATCGACTAATCAGAAATTTACGTTTAAAAGTGATGGCGACGTGGTATACATTCTGATTGGATAATTTTCTTACGGCTACGTCTTACGGTCTTAAGTAAGTTTATGTGTGATGGCCTTTAGGGTACGATCCCATGCACTGTTATTTTTCGCGTAACGCGTAACGCGTAACCAATCAGAGAGATTACGTGCTTTATGTTAGTACACGTGAAATGAGAGAATAGGACACTACTTGCATAGGGGAGGAAAAGCGGTCAAAGTGAGGATACTGCCCTGCCGTTACTCAGTACCGTAAACATAGATACAGCACATTCAGGCCCGAATTTAGATTTCAGTGAATAAAATAATTTTTCATTTTAATGTACTATCAAGTTTTTTAATGTAATTAAAGTAGTAAATGTGTAATCAAGTAAGTAAATGTAATCAAAATATAAATCAAAACGTTTATATAAGTGTGAAGATTGTACGAGCGGTAACAGCACTATGGAGTCGGGATGCATTCTAGTAGAAGAGATGCGCAGAACAGACGCATTTTCGTCCATGGGTGTCCTATTCTCTTGTTAAACCGACTATATAAAAGCTGTATATTCCATAATACTTGAATAATTATTTCTGTAAAGAAGAAAAACATACAGTAAATTTTTAGAGAATTTTTTTCTAATTTTGTATCGCATAGCGCATTATATTTGATAATTTATTATATATACTACAAAAATGCTAGTTTCTGAGATAACATTACTGGTTTTTATATATTATGAAAAAATTGGTATTCTTTATATTTTTATTTTTTTATATTTTACAGTGCCAAAAGTTCTCTGAAACTAGTATAATATACTTCGTATACGATATACAATTTATTTATTATCTATCTTTGTGTATACATATATATATAACTTTTCTGCATACAATATGTGTGTGTGTGTGTATTATGTAAAAATATTCTAATATTATAAAATAAAATTATATACTTATATATCTAATTTTATATATGTACTTCTCTACACACTTAAAATGTCAAGTTTTAATTTTTTATTTTGGGCCTTTTTTGTTCTATATGTTGTAAAATCAAATTTTTTATTTTTTTGTCACTATATTGTTCGTGTCGAAGAACTTCAAATATTTTTTACTTTACTAGATTTTATTATTGATTTAATTGTTACCAAACCGCAAATATATAGTGCAAGCAAAAATTATTTTTATTTATTGTATTTGGTTTATCTGAATACAAACATATTATACCAGAGCAATTTGTATTCTTCAAAACATAGCACAAAGTTCACACGAGAATAGTGCAACTTAATCGAAAACGATAATTTTATTATTTTATTATTGGAATAGAGAGCGCTGACGAAATGCATAGCATTAAAAATCTTTATACTCAATGCTTACTAATGTAAATCGCCGACTTCGCTATAATAATACCTTTCAAATATACGCGACTGAAGCCGGGAAACGTTTGCTATTGATTTTCGACTTTCTTGAGCAGTCCTCACGTCGGCGCTCATGTCGACAAATATAATCTTGAGCAACTACCCTAGAATATCCAGTTGAACTTGTAATTTTTACAGTAAGTAGTGTATAAATTCAAATAATGCTTGCAAATGTAACTTGCTCTTTTTGAAATCGTCATTATAAGTCGAATGTATATCATGAAATTGACGACGTGGAAAAATGATAAATGTACATTTTAGTACTAAGTGTGTTTTTCTATTTCTTCAGCTGGTCTTTTTTACAAGTGGTGAGTACAAAATAGAATTTGATGATTCTGAGAAATAGATTTTTTCTTGACACAAAGTAAAATTTCAATAATCCTATGTCACTTTTAATAATAATGTATCACATATATATATATATGTGTTTGTGTATACACATATAGTTACTTCTTAAATAATAAACTACTCATACAGAATAAAAATTAAATATCCATTAGATATCTATAGCTGCATTGTTAATAAAAATCTAATGACATTTTTATAGAGTTCTGTTTTATCATCAGTATTAAATAAAATGTTGCTTAACTGTTAATTCTATAAAATTTGTGCAATAACATATAGAATAATATACAGAAGTTTTAAAAGTATACTTCGGCATTATTTCTTTTTTATTATGTTCGTATCCTATAGCATAACGTACGATAAACTATATAAAACAACTGTTCGTACATATCTTTTGTATTTTAAAAACACTTGTATTAAAATATAACAGCCACAAGAGTAAAAATATCTTTTTGTAAAAAACTAATGTCTAGAGAAGTAGCGCCTACTGAGAAGATATATTATATATGCTTATGTACACAGCTCCGACGTTCCTTTGTGCTTTCTCACATAAACAAAAATAATAAAACGTGCGCAAAAATAATAATACTTGCGAGTGTAAAAAGTATCAAGGCCGAAAATGCAAGGAAGTTCCAATGTATTTTTGTTTGTGAGTTATATGATTGCAAATAATTTATGTAGAATAATGCTTCTGTTTTGTCCAATAAGGTCATTTGTGTAACATAGTACATGTACAATAATATTTTGTGCAATGTGTAGTCAAGTAAGATCTATGCAATAAACACTACCATGAACAATCGAGATTTGCGCCAAAAAATGTCATACAAACAAGATCTGGACAAATGGAATCTATAATCAAACGAAATCCGGACAAATAAAATCTTAGCAAGCAGAACTTTTTTGATGTAACTTTCGCGTGGAACTTTTTTTATAATTTTAACCATCACTATCAAAAAAATTCGTCTTATATCTTCGTCAAAGATCTTAACAGACATATAATTACTTAAAACTTTTTGAAAACGTCAACGTCAGCTACAAAACTCTGCTTATCAAATATGTGGCATTTCACTTAAGAAACAGACGATAACTGTTGCGTTACTTTGAAAAATTATAAGCTATTAATAAGATCATTGAAAATTGATTTTGCAATTATTTATCTCTCTCCATGTAAGTTTGGACCTAAAACATTATTATCCGAGATTGAAAAGAAATCAAGTATATGAAGTGATAAACTCAAATAGCTAGATATCTTATAGTAATGTTTTATCTTTTTACATAAAATATTTCTGATGAAAACAGGTCAGATGATGACAAAGCAACATCGGACTCACGCTGCAACTACAAAAACAGTTAATGACTTATGGTGTTATCAATGCAATACTCTCGACGATGGCGATAGCTGCACTAATCTCACTGATCCTAATGGCAATTATACAAACTTTAGATATAAATGCGAAGATGAAAATAGAATCTGCATGGTAAGATATTTATACACTTATTGTATATTTGTTTTATTCCTAAATTTTATAATAAAATTTTTCAAATCATGTATATATATATATGTATCTGAAAAATTTTGACCAAGCCGAAGTGTGAAGGTAAATTGGATTAATCCGAAAAGTCATGTAGTATTTTGTAAAATTCTATAGTTATTGAGTGCTTAATTAATGTGATCCATTGAGCGCGTAAAAAACGATGATTTATAAAGAATTTCAATTCGTGTACAAACAAATGACTTATCTCATGTAATGTTTTAGCAACGAGAAACGGAGAAACCAAGTGGGAACGACGTATGTCACAGTTTCTTGCGATTAACTGATTTTTGCGGCGATTTAACTGAAAATCGTCACGTTTTTAAAGTCCGGATTATCGCTTTTCACGCGCTCTTTAACTTACATTCATGAATTAATAACTCAATAAATATTGCAAATTTTACAAAATGACAAATGACTTCTCTGTTCAAATTGACCGAATCTATCTGTATACTTTGTCATACTGTACCTCACCATTTTTCAGATGTATACATATATATGTATATAGGGGGGGGATAAATCATTCCAATCATCTCAAACAAATATCTTTGCAAGTAAAAAAAATCGTATAAAAAAATGTTTCAGACAAAAGTTGTTGAATTTCAAAAGAAAAAGAAAGTGACGATATCAAATTGGTCTTATATAGTCCTATCACTTTTGCTAATTAGCCATTTTCTTAAATGAAATTTTTTTCTGTAGAATAAACCTTGTATGTACCTTATTTTGAAACAAATCCAAACCGTATTATTGGATATATTTCATAATTTTTGTAAAATATTGCCATTTAAACTGCAAAAAAACTTATTTAAGTTGAATTTGTATTAAAAAAATATTATTAATTTAGCTGAACTGTTTAATTAATTTCTACACATTTGATGTACGCCCTTGCATTAACGTCAAGGTTGCAACTACGCAGAGATAGTTCCTTTTTGTACTCTTACTTTATTTTTTGCAATTGTATTGGTATTTTATTTTATTTATTTATTTGTGACTTTTTCAATTCAGGACAGAATTCACTAATATTTAAGGTTTCTAAGTTACTGTTAGACAGCATCAGATTACTTTAACATATTCCGTGCCATGCAGTTTTACGTGATGTGTTCTTCAAACCACATCAGAGGTACCAATAATTCACTCACTATGTTCATTACATTTGTTCATTATATTTGTTAAATAAATTGTGTTCCATGATGGTTACAAAGTTACAACAATTACAGTAACACAAGAGCGTCGCCTGTATATCTGAAACAAAAATTCTTATTTTTAAGAAATTTAATAGATTGATTCAAAATGCACTAAAAGCACTATCACGCATTTACTTAGTAAGTTATCCAGTCTCCATTACTGTCGAGAATTCGCTGATGTTTTGGCATACTTTCTATAAGATTTTCCGCATATTGTTGCGATAACGATTGTAATATACTTTGTCTTTCAGAGAGACAATTGTTAAGGTGCTAGAACATGCGTAGGTGCATTTTTATTTTAATAAAATATATGTATAAAAAATATTTTAACAGTTTTTATTCTTCTTCTCTGTTCTTGATATAGGTAAAACAGCATACTTACAACTATACTACTAATAGCACTAAAACTCCTGTGTCAAAATTATGGTACATAGAAAGAAATTGCACAAGCAAATGTGAACCGGATTGCATCGTGATCGGTGAACGCAGTAAAATTATCTCCTGTACAATTTGCTGCGATGCAAATTTCTGCAACAACGGTACTAGTACAGCCCATGAGATGCCATTAAAATGGAAAAAGGAACAGAGAATCTTGTTAATACTAGCTATCATATTCAATATTTTATTTTTAACATAATATGTTGATATTTGTTATACTTTGTTTCATATATGTATAAAAAAAAGTGGAATAAAAAACATTAATCTAATTGAGTGAGTGTAAGTTGCTTCAAAATTTTAAAAATCAGTGAAGAATAGAGGCCGATAAAAAGCACGAAACATAATGGTTGTAACAATTTATTATTATTCACGAACCAGATATGTAAACGTTTTGACCGTAGATTTTATGTGCATTTCCATAAGTATATACATGAATTAAGTTGATTTCTTCATATGCAATTACATTTCTACATATTTTAAACATCACATAGCTGAAAGTTTTTACTCATTTATTGGACAATTCCTTTTTAAAATTAATTTTGCAAATATACTGCTAAGATGATTCGCCATATCGTTATTCTTTTGCCAAAATAGTATTTGGAAAGTAATTTTGCAAACAACTACAAATATTTTATAAAAGATCAATGTTTTTACATCTATTTCCTAAAATATATCTATATAATTGCAAATTACAATTTTAGTGCAAGATTTTGTCACATAATTTTGTAAATATTTTCCTATCAGGGAATATGTGTCAGCAAACGATAAAATAAAAAATTATTTATTCAAGATGTTCAAAATGACGATCCCCTACTAAAATACATTTTAAAATTCTTTTACAAAAACATTCTCGGACACGAAAATATTTTTGGTGTCATTTTAATGTAGTACTCGACAAATCATATCTCCATATAGCCAAGTCTGTCAAAGCAGATTTTGCCAAATGCTTGTTACAAATTTTTGTTAGCAGAAAGACATCAAACATACTGCAGAGTTTGTTACATCTGCCGATATCGCAAAATTGCTAGCAGAATTATATATCCAAGCTTGTTGACAAAAAGTAACAGCAAATTGCTGACAAAAACCGAGCAAAGCTTAAGTGGAGCTAATAATATAACCCGAGACCACATTATGTAAGGTTAATTTAGGAACATGTGGAAAAATTTCTATGCGGGTTGCGTGGCTGATAAGCCGATATATTATAATGCGTATTGCTCTTGGCTCCTTCCTTGCGTTGCGTGCTGTAACTGTGTGGTGCTCGTGCTTCGCGCATTCCTACTATCACCGTTTTGTTAAGTACATATATACTGTTATTTATGTATATCTCGCGAAATAAAGATTAAATCCAACAATATTAAAATTGAGAAGTCATTTTATCAGTGTCGTCTGACAGCTGAGCAAATTTTTTTTTATGTCATTTGTTTTTAACGTGCCCCATAACCGTCAGAGCGATTTTTGCGGGCTACATTAATTTTTCTCTTGACTCTCCTTTTGTCTTTTAATCTGGTCTCTTTCCATCATCTTTTTTCTTTTTACCATTCTCTTCTATCCAAGTGGGGACTGTGCAATTTTTACTACTACCATGCGATACACGGTCGTCTTTCACAGTACGCGTGCCCATCTGTGTCGGACTCGTGTTCTGATGTTATGATTAAGATCGCCTGTGAGAAAGAGTTTTAATTCTCGAGATTTCACTCGAAATTAATTGTTGGAGGTCTGATTCGGTTCGCTAGTCAATCGATTTACTCGCTTGAAAAGAATCGACTCAGAAAAAATCTTAAGATGATAAGCGGATTCAAATTCGGGATCTCCATGATTGCAGTCCCTGCACTCAAGCCGCAAGACCAATAAGCCGGTCCAGCTGAGCAAAGTAACAGATTTGGTTAAACGTGCGCAATGTTGTCAGCACAATACAGTAGTTGCATCTATCCGAATAAATAGTTTATTAAGTGTTAGTGGGGAACGTGGACAACCACTATTAAAAGGTTATTATATCAATACAAATACCATAGACATATAAGAAATAGACTGCACGTGTGAGAAGAGAAGTGAGTAAAACCTCAGAGCGAGACAGATGTTTTCACTCGTGTCTCTGTCTCTGTCTTTCAGCATCTGGAGTGGGGGTTCTTCAAGTGTTTTAACTGATGAAACAAGTTCAGTATTTAACTAAACAAGTTGCTGGAATTACATATCTCGCCGTAGATTAAAGTTGTAACACGAACGATTCAAGACTTATTCTAACCGTATATTTTTCAAGTCTCTAAAAACTATGTCTCTAAATAATTCTAATTTCAAGATAAATAAATAACTTCATATATAGTACTAACACACATTTTATATTTCTTTTAAATCTAAATACGCGCAACAAATACTATTATATATATGCACTACATATTTTGTATAATAACAAATACTTTTGAATTGTTTTTTTTTTATGGAAAATAAATGTAGATTTCTCTGTTTTTATAAATACAATAAAATTATGCAGTTTTTAACATATATTTTCTATCCAGTTCACATAAATATATTCTAACATGATTACAATAAACTTAACATATGTGCAACGATACTATTATATTATCGTGAACATTATTTGGCAGTATTGTATGAAGTAAACACGGAGTTTTTGTTAAATCTGAGTACCGCAAGTTTTTGTTTTAGATTTAACCCTTCAGCCAGACATAAAAAAAGATCTATGAGTTGTCCAGACTGGATCTATGAGACCTACGCAACTTCAAGATCGAATATCTCCGCAAAAAATCAATATATGTTTTCAATTTAATTTTTTTGAGTCGAAAGTTTGAACGATTCTGCGTCGATCAAAAGAAACAGATTGAAAAAATCTTCACTAGTTTCGAAAATATAACTGTGTAAAAAAATCTAACAATTTTTTTTCGAAAAAAAACTTTTGGTAAAACTGTCGATGAGGGGAGCAGCCTCTGATAACCTTGACCTCGATATATTATCAAGGTCGTGGCCCCAAGTAAGGTCCCGAAGGTTTTATCCGGCGGTTGTTGTTTGTTTACAAATTATTAACAAAAAAAGTATAACTCATACGACATCGTTTGGTAATTATTTAGATTAGGGGCTTCCTCACTAATTTTGATGAGCTTGAAATATGTTGTTAAGGACGTTATTCTGAACAACTTTTCCCTATACATGTTACTGCCGCTCGTCCTTAGTTTCCGAGATATTCGCAAAAGAAGTTTTGCAAATGAATTCTTTGTTTTCTAACATCGTGTCGATTTCTGAAGTCAATACGTTGCACGACACGTGTAGGCAGAGGGGAGGCTGTGTTCTCCCGCGAAGAAGCGAAGAAGCGAATGTAATCGGAAGTCGTTCCTTATTTTTTTCGCGGATGTTTTTGTTTATAACTTGTAAATAAACAACGATCGCCGGATAAAACCTTCGAAACCTTACTCGGGGCCACGACCTTGATAATATATGTTAAGGTTATCAGAGACTGCTTCTCTCATAAGCAGTTTTACCTTCTTTTTTTAGATAGAAAGTTTAAACACTTCTGCGTCAATCAAAAAAATAAATTACAAAAATCTCTAATAGTTTGAAAGAAACGTTTAAAACATTTCTACGCACCATGACCTAATAAATTGTTATAAACGTACATGTATTATGACAAAATTATTAAAAAAAAACAATTATTTAATATATTAAAAGTGCTCAAACTGAAAAAAAATTACTTTTCGAAATGCCAACGTCTTGTCCAGGCTTGGGTCTCTCAGACCCTTTTTGCACTTTAAAATTCAAACTTTGCAAAGCTATTAAATGACGTCAACAACCATTACCATTGTCTAAGACCCTAAAGTTTTTTTTCATAGCCTTCAGATGTCGCGCTAAACTAATATCTAGTAGAGACACCGGTTGAAAGCTTTTGAGTGAATCTGGGAGACCCAGATATCTGGCATTAAAGGGTCAATTATATCTAAATTTTTTGTATCTCTTGTATCTAGATTTGTTATAACTCATTTCATGAATCTCTACAAGAGATACAAATTCTTCATTTTACTTACTTATTTGACTTATTTTAAGTTTTTTTATACTGAATTCAAATCGAGAAGAGAAACCGGATGGACGAAAACTCGTTTGTTTCGCGCATCTCCCCTACCAGGAAGCTCCTCACTCTACAGCCATTGGAGTGTCCCGCCAATTCCACACTCAACGCTATCTCTACTTTTCTCGCTTTTCTTCCCCTATACTCAATAGGATTCTCTTCTCGACTTAAACTCAGTATAGTATGGAGAGAATAAAGGTATATAGAAGGTAAATAAATAATTAAGAATATCCAAGCGTACGTTACATGACATTATCCGAAGAGATTGGTTACAAAGGTGTTAAATCCGTTACTGATAGACGAGAAGATACCGCCGCCACCGTTGACATTGGGGGTAGTATTCACTCCGGGTTGCGGTCGGTAATATAACATATGTTCTCGATGCGGATATGGTTTCCCTCCTATGTTCCCATTATATAAAAGAGATCCGTTTTCATCTTCATATTGTCTCTATTTTCAGTATAGTAAACTTTACTATAATGTTTCTTAAAACGTTGATATTAGTTATATAAACTACAGTTATAACTATTATTAAACAACATTAAGTCGCATTAGTAATATATATTTATTAATTTGTGAATATTTTTGTTTTTCTTCTTTTATTTTTAATAAGTAAATTCAAAATTCAAAACAAGAAATAAAGGAATTTGTGACTCAGTAATTGTAATGAATCATATTTAGTTACAAATAAAGAATATGCGATTAATCTTTTATTCTATTTGCTAATGGCATTACTTACTTTTGTTGAATGAAGTGTAACGTTAAGCAGAGTTGGATGTTGTTCGACTACCACGAATTCCACTTCCCGAGGTATGTATCCATTCGAAAATATCTGATGTATATAATAAAAGTGTATCACACAGTGTACCACAATAAAGTCAGCAGCACACGATGGTTTTTTGCTTGCTAGATTATTTACATGCTTCTATAAGCTACACTACACGGCTGCTGGATTTCTGTCATAGTTCAGGTGCTATTTTTCTTGTGTTATTTTATGTTGTTTCATTGCGAGAGCCAATCAGATTCAACTTTAAAACTTTAAAGTAATACGATTATCACATGATCTAAGCTCCTGATTGGCTATCGCAATGAACCAGTCAAGACCACGCCAAAAACTAAATCTGATTATTTATACGGAAATCTGACAGAGCAGAGTCCAACACAGCGTAACCAGCACAGGAATACGCAAAACAAAACAGCATCGTATGCTGCTGATTTAACATACAAACTGCTTTTCGATTTTATTATATTTTATAATTCATTAGCGTGACATAATAAAGTACTTTAATATGTATATATGTATATATATATTTAATATACATATACAGGGTGGGAAAAAATGTCGGTAGCCTTAAATAACTCGGAAAATTTGAGTTTTATAGAAAAATGTTTCAGACAAAAGTTGTAGGGCTTAAAAAGACCTATTTACTGATCTTATCAATTTGGAAGACATTGAAAACGTCAGGTCAAGGTTACATCAATTTTTTTTAAAAGGAACACCCTATTTTTTATTTCAGCTTTTTATAGCTTAATTCAAGAGCTTTCCAAATTATTATAATAAAGTTTATCTTCATTAAGTACTTGTTGACTTATGAGGGTTGAATATTAGAGTATCGCATTAACATTATCTATTGACGTTATCATTCATTTCGAATGTTGCTTTATCCAAAAACAATTATGTTGAATAGGAACTAAGGTTTTTTGTCAATTCTCTGCATCATGAGCTTACAAAATTCGTTTTGATCGAAATCATTGTCGTAAAAAAAGTACCGGCGGTACTCCAATATTCAACCTTTATAACTCAAAAAGTACTTAATGAAAATAAACTGTATTATAGTGTTTTTAAAAGCTCTTGAAGTAAGCTAAACTTTTTTCTGAAACATTTTTCTGTAATAAAACTTATGTTTTCCGAGTTATTTAGAGGTACTGACTTTTTTTTCCAACTTCTATATACGTATATCTGAACAATTATATATAAACGTATTATCATAACATTATATACCTCTAGCTTATATATCCCAGGTAGAAGAATTCTCCAAAATTCACCATATTTAGTCGTCGAGAAACTGACATCTCGTGATTTTACCTTAACAGATGCTTTCTCAATAGGATTACCATTTTCATCAACAACAAAACCATGAATACCTCTGTGAGCCTCTGCCAAAAATTTGATTAAAGACTGAAAGAAACAAAAAACAAGTATATATTTCTCCACGAGGAATTGCTGTTTTGCAAATAACATGATATGTACTCTTAAAGTTAAAAAAACACGATCAAATAGACAAATTCATGATAGAAATAACTTTTCAAAAGTAGCGCGCGTTAATCTTTTTAAAGGAATTTATTGTCAAGAGTGCGTGCGCTGCTAAAGCACGCTTTTGCGTACACTGTTCCTGATATAAAAATCTAAAAAATGTCTCGTGTATTTGTAAAAGTTTTAATATCAAATTTTTATTATTGTAAAAGTATCAGATTGTATTTTATATGTATTTATAGATTTTCAAATTAATTTTTATATGTATTTATAGATTCAAATTAATTATTTTAAAAGTCACAATCAAAAAGACAATCATCCGGTCGCGACCGGATATTTAAATTCTCACGTTGCTGGCAGAAGGTTAATATAAAAAAAACGTTTGATTATAATTATTGTGAAACCGTATATTTTGCAACCAACATCTGCTTTTGTTTGAATTTACCTACTGCAACATGTTTTTTACTAATAATTAAATTCCTACACTATTTGAGTGTAATAATAATATTCAAACTCATCACAGGTTTAGTTTTATTGAATGTATCTAGAAGATAAAAAACATTTGATTCAAAGTGGCCTCATGGTTAATTAAGATAGTATGTTTTTTTTTATCAGCAAAACATTATTTGTTTCTCACCATTTGATTCTCCTCCCAGTAATGCACCAGATTTGAAGCCGGTGGATATTTACAGCAAGAAATCTCCAAAGTGATCTCCATGCATCCATTCCACACATAGTTGAAATCCTGCATACCACCTGTAAGCGGATACCACTCGGCGCCGTTGGTAATTCCGCGCTTAAACGCAGGCTGGGATGGTGAACATGGCAACCCTTGATACATGGATCCGTGATTTCGCGAATATGTCAATGATAGATGTTGGAACACGTCATCGTCCGGCGATATACTTGGCGTCGCTGTGAAGCTCTGAAACACTATTCCCTCTATATGAGTCTGTTACGTCGTCGAGAACGACGATCACGGATCGTTTGTCCTGCTAGACGCACGAAGATGATTTGTGTAATCGACAAACTGTTCTCTCTAAGACACATTTATGTCGTTTCTTTTAGTTTGTTTTTAAACAAGATTTTTTTGTAATGCCTATGATTATTTACACAGAAAATCATCTCTTTTTGGTAATACGTTTTATTCTGTACATCTCATTCTTTTTAGGAGCAAGATTATTGGAATTATTATAAAAGAAGACATTTTTTTAAAGCCGAAAAAATTATCAAATTTCATTCTCATGCACTTGGAAGATTGTTTTTTTTTACTATAAAAAACATTATATTTTTAAAACTTTTCATTAACAATCGTAGACTTTATCATTTACTTTTTTGAAGATATAAAAATTTGTGTTTGTAATTAATGTAGGTATGAAATAAGTGTGTGATTTTATTTTCTTGATTTGTTTTCTTATGTTTACAAATAAATGATAATGTCGTGATTGTAGAGTACTAATAGTAAGATAATCATTTGTTCACAATACCTGCACATAGTGGCGCTGATCGACATATTCCTGACGGCATAAAAGTGTACATAAAATCATGACAGCTTCAAAACTATGCTCAATTACAATCATACATAGCTGTCTGTACTCTTACACAAACGGAGTTTACATCCGAATAGTTGGGAAATTACAAATAGTTAAAAAATTTTTTTGAAAGCATTTGATAGATACTAATGTTCTTTTTTCTTTTTTTCTCAAGATCATATCAATAGTTACAATAACATCGTATTACAAAAATTCTGCAGCTCAGACAGACAATTAAGTGAGCTTACACTACTCTCATTTTTTCAACTATTGGTGAACATAATATTAACTTAAAGAAATTAAAAAAAAACTTAAAGTAAATTAAACTTACGCGAATTTGGAGTATTGTCAAAGGGATAGCTAGCTACAAGCGCACCACCGTGCAAACTTCCCGAAAGCACGAATTGAATTTTTGAGACCCATTCCTTAACAGCTTCGGTTTCCGGTTGACTCTTTTTATTGTTCTGCTTAAAGTAGTCTGGGAAGTTTCGATTTAAGTCAAAACCACGCGCATTATACCTGTACCAATCATGAGACAATATAATAATCTAAACAATGTAATAATGTTTCTTGTAATTGAAATTCAATATTAGTAAAACAAACAATAACAGCAGGAAAGAAATTAGAACTGTTTATCTTAGAGCAATAAAATAAGATCCAAGTGTTATTTTATAAATAAAAAAATTGTTTATAAATAAAAAGTTGAAAATTACTGACTATTGTATGTTAAAAGGTATAAATTCGTATTCATAGAAGTAATCTTTCACTTTCCTCAAGATTTCTTTAAAAACTATCAATTGGTTCAAAAGTTATAAAATTTAACATAAATATCTAACCTGCCTTGACCACCGTCGCAGTTTCCCTCTTTAGAAACCTCAAAACCATCAGGATTCATTGAGGGCAGAATATGAATTCTTGTATTATCTAATAACCATGTGATATAAGAATCTATTCCATACGATGTCACCAAAAACTACAAGAATGAAAAAAGAGAAAATAAATCTTATCCACATAATACATTTGACGATCTGAATTGTACTATTGTACTATTTCGAGAACATGCGTGTCTTTTCAGATAAAAGCATGAAAATGTAAACTTGATGTGATAATTGTTACATACGTGAATAAGATGTAGCATTAACTCACGTCCTACAGCTTCGTTTCCATGTATATTAGCAATATATTTTACATCGGGTTTACCGATCATGTGTTCATATGGCGACGACGACACGACCATCACCCATAAATCACGACCTGTTATACAATTATTGTTTTATGATAAAATTCACTTTTTATCTTAGAAAACAACATAAATAATAAGTATAATATCTTATAAATATTTTATCGTTTTTCTATTAATAAAGAAGTTTTAAATTACTTGTTTTATAATGTAGTATAATAGAATAATAGTACAATCGCTTGAAATATTAACAAATAATGAAAAACAATTACAAAAAAATCTATATCAAGCTTAACAAAGGTTCTTAAAATTTATTAGTTGAGAAATAACATAAAGTTATCGATACCAATAATTGATACCAATAATTGATATTAATAACTTTATGTTATTTCTCAACTAATAAATTTTAAGAACCTTCATTAAGCTTGATATAGACCTTTTTTGTAATTGTTTTTTATTATTTGTTTTATATCTTGTATTTTTTGTTAACTTTAAAAAAATTACAACATATCTCTTTTTTATAAACTATGCTCTTACAATATTAAAGTTTACGGTATGCTCTTGTAGAATTAAATTTTATTTACATAAATTATACATAAACTCTACTTTTATAAGCTGTTTATTGTAAGTGTCAATAAAAGTTTTATATTTAATTTGAAATTTTATATAAGAAAAAGATCATTTCATATAAATTGTATATAAAAAAGGTCACCTTTTACTGACTTTCCTATCGAGTACAGTGCAGTGAGATTTTGAAATCGAAGAGATGTTGTGCGAAGAAAGCGGCTCATCTGTTCGTAGTTGTGATACTTGAACTCAATGTTGTATGGCTCCTCGTACATTAAGTAACGTGAATGATACGGAAAAGGTGCATTTCCCTTGTTAGGAAAATGCATCCCATAAATGCTTCCGTAAATGGAGATGAAACAAAATAGCATACAATACATTCTGTAAATAATCATAATATACTTATGAGATAAATATATGAAATGCAATTTTATTTATATATATGTATATACATATATGTGCGCGCGCGCGTGTGTGTGTGCACATATAAAAGAAAAAAGAAGGAAAAGAAATATAGACAGAAATTGTAAAACAAATATTTTTCTAACAGTTATCTTGGATTTATCGCTAGTTATACTTATTAGAAGCATTGGGCTTTGTTTAGGTTTAGGTCACTCAAAACGCATTAAATTGATGCTAAGGTTGTTCATAAAAACAAATATTTTGTTTCGTGAAAGTACACTGGTACCGCAAGATAAGATTTAACAACGTTTTTTGTATGTTATTGATTCTACATATCAGCTTTTAACATTTTAGCTTTTTTATGTCTTATACAATATTAAGATAGAAATATTAGAAGTGTACAAAAGTTCTCAGGTTTTTTCTTTACTAAAAATTTTTATTATTCTTAAAAATACAAAGTATCCAATTATCTCTATAAAAATATTTTTTCTTGCTTTTTATCACCTCTGCCATCTATTAGATAATTGATGAATTTCAAATCAAAAACATTTTTGAGATTTAGAGACGATTAAGGTATTAATATATTTTTAAATGTTTTCTTATGTAATATTTTGAAAGTGTGAACCATTACGAGTGTGCTACAGCAATCTGGAATACACTCTGCGACAATATTATAAAATATTATATAAAACTATACAAATCTACGTTGTAAGAAGAAAATTCGGTAATTATGCAAATTAGGGGAGCCACCTCCGATTTGAATTATTTTTACATATGTCATCAAGGTCATTGTCCCGAGTAATAATGTGAAGGTTTTAAGCGGGGGTCGTTGTTCGGTAAAAAGTTACAACGGGAAGAAGTTTCATGAATGAATTCTTATTTTTCGGTCTCACGTACATTTCGTTCGTGTTTCAAGCGTGTAGGTAGGCATTAAGAGATATAAAAACATGTTTTGAATAAAAGTTACATTGTCTTTTATAGGCTTTATAACCGCGTGGATTTTTTTAATTTAACATTTTTTTATTTACCCTCACTCATTATTTTTTTCACAAATTTCAACAGTTTTCTAAGGAAAAGTAGCATTTTCTACGCTGAATTCAACCATATATGGTTTTATTGTGTTGTAAAATCGCATATTGTGAGAACAAAATTATATAAATATCGCGTAGTTGAGAATATTACTTTTTCGTGTAACATATTTTACATTGATCATTCAATTCGAAAAGATATAATTTTATCGCGATTCCGAGATGTTGCGTTTTATCGGCGTGACCGACCGAAAAAGAAGTTCTTAGATACTACATTCGCAAAACATATTCTCAACTAAGAAAGAGAACTAAGAATGTAATAAATGTCAAATTTTAATACAATAGAATGTGAAAAATAAGCGTGTTATGTTCAACGACTGAGATGTTTTTGCAACCGGTGAGTGTTTTTGTTGTTTTGACGCTCGGTAAACCGCTCAACCCCTGCTACGCACCCCTGCGGGCCCGCGACGCGAAGGAAATTCGAAAAGCGCATAGTGGCGGATGCGTGCGCGCAGCCTCAGATTTCGTCGATCTCTCGAGAGTAACGGACGTGTTGTCGGATTCTGCGCGATTCGAAATTTTTCGAATTTGAAGAAAAGTGTAATTCATTTATTGAAAGCGTTAAATATCATATCATAGAGCGTTCGAAAAGTGTGGGATCTCCCTATTAACTCAGAAAGTAAGCATTCTCATAAGAAGTGTTAGATATAAAAATTTCATGATTTAGAAAAAAACATTGTTTAATGACCTTGACTTTGACCTTGGGGTCAAACTTAGGTCAAACTTAAAGATCAAGGTGAATGTTTTAAAGAATCCTCGTTTTTATTATATAGTTTTATAGCTTTCAAGAACGTTTCAAAACACTGTAATAAAATATTTTTTCATTAAGTACTTTTTGAGTTATAGCGCTTGAAAGTTACAATATCGCAAGCATTAGCATTATCTAAGGTGCACCGCGTGGAGGTTACACAGTCAGATTTACATTTTTGTGTGTGTGTGTGTGTGTGTGTGTGTATAGATTCATATAATATTTTTAATATATGTGTTTCCTATATATGTTAACATTTTAATATATGTTTATATTAATATATTATGTAACGATTATATATTGAATGTTATATGTTATATATTATGTAGTATGTTATTAAAACTGAAGTTCTAAGTATTTTGACATATATGTCTATTACACACACACACACACACATTACTACTAAAAAAATAGAAATACAATAAACACAAAGAGAGAAATGTCTTTATTATTGATTAGAACTTGTAATTATTTAAAATCTTTAACTAATAAATGAATGATAAGTCGTTGAGAGCCGTTCGCTGGATGTTATGCGAGAAATATGTCTATATATATGTATGTGCGTGTGTACACATATATAATCGAATTCACGTTTTTTTCACGTGAGTTTTTTGAATTGTAATTACAAGGTAGCCTAACAGGAAAGGCGACGGCCCGGAAAGCCGGAGATTTCAGGTTCGACTCCTGGCTGAGGAGTTTTTTATCGCAATATTTTAAATTAATTTGGGGGGATATTCGGGGTTCTTCATATACGAGATGCAAATTGAGCATCCTATATGATTATTAGAATTGTAATTACAATTCAAAAAACTCACGTGAAAAAAACGTGAATTCGATTATATATGTGTACACACGCACATATATATATATAGACATATTTCCCGCATAACATCCAGCGAACGGCTCTCAACGACTTATCATTCATTTATTAGTTAAAGACTTCACAGAGCCCGAGATGAATCTCAGTTTTAATTGTTATTTAAATTCTTTGTTGTAATAATATTGAAAAAAATAAATTTATTAATTATAAATTACATTGTACCATTTTTATTTATTTATTTTTCAATTTGGCTACTTTTTCTTTCTTTATGTATGAGTGTGTATATAATTAGATTGTTTTAAATAACATCTTGTTTTAAATAAAATCAAAGCTAAACTAAGTTACATTTAAAATAATAGTAAAAATTTATAGTTTTTAAGGCTCTTGAAATTCAAACAACGTGAAATTTTTGGTCAATGAGAGTCATACGCTGGATGTTTGTCGCGTATTTTGTGTGTGTGTGTGTATATATATATATACACACATATATGTTGTTCGTGTAAATTTTTACACGTGAGTTTCGAATTGAAATTTCAATTCTAAAATTTATATAGGATGCTACATTTGCATCACATATATGAGAGACCCCCCGTATACCCCTCTAACTAATTTTAAAATAGAAAGAAACGTTGAAATGGCTGTTTGAAGCAAACACGGTTGTTGATGTGTGTAGTTGCAAAATTTGATTTATTGTAACGAATAAATTGTATAAAACGTTTTCGACCTTTGGTTTAGGTCTTTCTCAATATATTTAGAGATATAATGGTCATCATATAAGTGTCAAGACTATAAGTTCAAGGTGAATTAAATGATTGACCACAACTGTACAAAGGTAACACAGCACTAAGTCAGTATGTAGAATCTTTTTTTCAGAATGACTTCGAGAATCTGCTAGTAAAAGAAAATACGATACTTGCGAGACACCCTATATACATATACAAAGTGTCTGAAAAAATTTTGACACGGCCGAAGTATGAAGGTAAATTAGGTCAATCTGAACTGAGAAATCTTGTACCATTCTACAAAATTTGCAATAGTTATTGAGTGATTAATTAATACATGTGATTTAATGAACGCGTTGGAAGTGATGGTCCGGACTCTGTAGGCGTGTATGATTTTCAGTTGTGAGAATCAGCTGATCGCTAATCGCTGATCGTGTCACACGCCACTCGCTTTGCTCCGTCTCTTGCTGTTAAAAGATTGTCTGAAGTAACCCATTTTTCTTTATAACTGAAAAGCATACTTGCCTATAACATCCGGACCGTCGCTTCTTACGCGCTCTTTGGATCACATGTATTAATTAATCACTCAATAACTATTGCGAATTTTGCAAAATGGACAAAACTTTTCTATTCAAATTGATCCTCACAATCTATCTTCACACTTCGGTTGTGTCAAAATTTTTCAGACATCCTGTACATATATATATATATATATATATATATATATCAATCTATGTATAAAAATAGATTGAATCATTTGAAACAAAAGAGTCATGTATTAGTTTGCAAAATTTATTAAGTAATAATATTTATTAATAATTATTAATCAATTAATATAATATGAGCTAATAAGCACGTGGAAAGCGATGGTTCGGACGTGATAAGCATAAAATCATTGGATTTTCAGAAAATCAATACATCAATATCAGCTGATAGCGAGAAGCGGTGCTCACACGTCGCTCGCTCCGTTATTCTGCCGTTGCTAGAAGATTGCATAAGATAAGCTATTGTTCTTTGCAATTGAAAATCATATAAGTTTTTTTCATGCCAACAGAGTTTGGATATCGTCACTTTCCACGAGCTCATATTAAATAATTAATAACTTGATAAATATTGCAAAGTTTGCAAAATAGTACATGGCTTTTCTTTGTTCTAAATAAATCAATCTACTTTCACATTTTAATTATCAAAAACAAAACTTTCAGACACTTTATATATATAAAAGTTTTAAATACAGAAGAAAGTAATGTAATTATATATACTAAGTTTCACATTTTCCTCGAGAAAAAGGGAGAGAGAGAGAAAGAGAGAGAAAAAGAAAGAAATCGTGACATATTATTTTGAAATTAAAAGTATGGACACAACAAAATTCAATTAATATCTCGTGCTACCAACTCTGAAAAAATTAATATGCTTTTATAAATGTTTTTATATATTATTAAAACTTTACATTACCTGATTATTCAAATTTATAAACAATGTGAACTTTTGCAGATGAGATTGCTGTGTATCTTTTGCGTATACGTAACGCTATCCATAAAAGCACGCAAAACAGTGAGTGACAATTCACAACAGATTTTTAAACAACAAATATTTTTAAAATGGTTTCTTTCTTAACAATAGTACTACAATAGTACTAAACAATAATACTGAGAGCACAACACTTTTATTGCCGAATCAATTACGGTAGTATACGAATAGTGGATAAAACGATAGTATTTGCGGAAAAATCAAAGAAGATAAAAAAAAGGATCACGTTAGAATGATATCTATGCGACACAAACTTCCAAACGCGAAGATAGAAGATGACAGTTTCGGCCGCGAGAGTAGCGGCGAGATATATGATACTGTGAACTTACAAAGAGAAGCGAAATATGCCGTGCGCTCACTACCACCACCAGCTACCAGCACCACCGCTGACGCCGCCGCCACCACCACTACTAGTAAAACCCACTTCCTCCGACGCTCTGGTATCTCTGCTGTGTCGGCTCTGTTGTAGACCAACCACTGGCACAATGTGTGCACCAGCTAGGAGACAACCCGTTTACTGTCTCATCTTGAGCACTAACACACATCAGCGGACAACACAATGAACTCGTCAGGCGTATCGTAGCAAACTGTTATTTTGCGCACATTTAGCGTAATATCTAGATCTCTTGTAGATATAAAATATAAAAGATAGATAGCTGTTTTTATTAAAAAAAAATGCATCTACCTTTATGTATATGTATAACTAAATTAGATAATATAAAAAAATTCTAATAAATTTATATGTTTAACAACTTGTTTATATAGTTACAGCATAGCATAAGTTAACTGGAACTATATATTTCAAACTTAAATAATTAAAAACTTAGTCATTTATTTAATATTAGTTATATTAGTTATATAGTTAAATTAGTTATATTAGTCATATAGTTATATATTTTAAATGTATTCTATAAAAATAATTAGTAAATAATCTTTGTGGTTTTTTTTTTATATAAAACATATATATTAAGAATTTATAGCTTAAGATATATTAATTACAAACTATAGTGCAAACTTTTTCTTTGTCCATTTTTATCTATAATGAAACGAAATCACTTTTTGCATAAACTAATTTCACGATCTACCGCATCACATTTTATACGTAAAGAGAACGAGTACATATCAATTCGCGTGTGCAGCTGCGGACTTACAAACCACTACTACTGTAAGTACCACTACCACCGCCGTTTTCATTACCAGTGTGAGTGTAATTGAAGTGAAGAGGTTTTGTTCTCAATGTTTGGCACTTTTAGCGTGCGAAGCTATCTATAACAGAATGTATTTATTTCGCTGCTTTATTATAGACAATTTTGCGTCAGCTTTAAAATGTTATATTATATTCTAAAATACAATAAAATGAATCTATCCGACTAAGATAACACTACATGGACGGCGTGTAGGTCGATAGAGCATTTGTAAGACCACACTAACGTCACCATACCACGTCCACTACACGTACTTTCGACGAGTTATTGAGGACGGTGTCCTACTAGCGGTGCTTGCCTGGCTGCCGTGGCTCGAATCATCGTTTCGGATAGATCGTTGAACTCGCGAGAGGAAGGTGAAACACATCGAAAAAAATTTCAACCAGAAGTGTGTCACCGAGTCTTGAGTTGTGACGTAGCAAGTGAAATGAGGAAAGGTAGTAAAATGTAAAGAAAGAAATATAGAGAGAAGAAAGAAGAGAGGATAAAGAGAATCCAAAGTATTCCATTCTTCCTGAGAATGGACTTCGTACTCACAGTTACTTTGAGATGATAAACTTACAACTTCTCACTTTTATGTCAAAGAATTGATCTTTTCTATTGTACTACTTTCAGAAAGTAACACACACACACACACACACACACAAAGAGAGAGAGAGAAAGAGAGAGAGAGAGAGAGAGAGAGAGAGAGAGAGAGAGAGAGAGAGAGAATATCTAAAAAAATTGAACCAAGCTAAAGTGTGAAAATAGATTGAATCAATCTGAACAAAAAAGTCATTTGCTATTTTACTTGCTATTATACTTATTAAGTAATTAATTAATAAATGTGATCCAATGAGCGCGTGGGAAGCGAGGATTTAGACTTTGTATGCGTTTATGATTTTTAGTTGTAAAACAAAATACTTCATACAGTCTCCTAACAGCGAGAGACGGAGCAAACAAACAAATTTAGTTGTGTGTAACACAACTTTTTCCTGATTTTCACAACTGAATAACTCAATAATTATTGCAAATTTTGCAAAATAGTACATGATTTTTCGGTTTAGATTAATCTAATCTACTTTCACACTTCGATTATGTCAAAATTTTTCAGACACTCGTATTGTATATTGGAAGAAGTGACACAAATTAACTAAATTAAGTAAATAACATCAGCGAAATAAAATTGAAAATGAGAAATTTCACACAAGCACTTTATTTATTTCAAAGCAAATAAAGTTTTTATTATATAACTAAATAAATGACACAATAAATGTAAATATCAATAAAAAATGTTTTCTTACAAATAAAATGTATCTATGATTATAGGAATTGTATATTTGTAATATATGTGTAATTATATTTACAACACAAGGTTGAATATATCTAATGTTGTTATACCACGATAATATCTAATGTTGCGAATACCACGATGTAGACTTAGTAATAACAAATAATTAATGTGTCGATACAGAAATGTCACATAAAAACGCACCAATAGGCTATTGACAATCATCGAACAAGAGACCTTTGTCTTTTCACAAAATTATTGTAAGTTTCTCTTTTTCTCTTTTCTCTCGTCTTCTGTTAATGTAATCCTTTTATGAATATATATCGCATATGTGAAGATAGATTGTGTCAATCTAAACAAAAAAGTCGTTTATTAATTTGTAAAATTCGCAATAGTTATCGAGTGATTACTTAATACACATGCATGTAACCCAATGAGCGCGTTGAAAGTAATGAACTTTGTAGGTGTATATGAATTTAGTTATGAAAATCAGCTGATCACAAGAAGCTGTGTCACATCTCACTTGTATGTTTTATCCGTCTTTTGCTATTAGGAAATTGCATGAAGTAAGCCATTCTTCTTTACAAAAAAGTATGTACGCTCATAGAGTCCAAATCCTGACTTTTCACGAACTCATTGGTTCTCATTTATCAAGTACTTACTTAACAAATATTGTGAATCTTGCAAAATAATAAATAACTTTTTTGTTCAGAATGACTCAACGTACCTTTAGCTTGGTCAAAAGTTTTTAGACGTTCCGTGTATATGTGCACGCGCGCGCGCGCGCGTGTGTGTGTGTATCTGATGTGTATCTGGTGTGAGTGTAGTATCTGATTTTTACCGCTAGTATCAAAAAAGTAATCGTCATAATGTTAGATCCTTTAACATATGTTACATGTTACTTTTTCAAAAAATATCTTGTTAGACACAATTTGCGGCAAAATTCTATTACGAGTATTAGTAAAGTCTTACGAGTAAATAGTACTTTAACATTAATATTAAGAACTTTGTGAGAAGAATATTTCTAACATGTAAAACCTATTCTATATTAAGCCCAAGATGCAAATAGCAGGTCTCGTGGAATTGACCAATCATGTTGGTCAATTGGCTGATTTAATCAATGCGATTAATCAATTCTATTCGAGATCTACTTGGGTTTGCGTGTTGCGCTTAATGTAGAACAGGTTTAACATGTGAGTTGTGCAAACAATGCAACATTGTGATAATTATTGAGTGAGTACAAAAAGTTTGTGCCTGATTCCAATAGATGTCATTACAATAGTTGTATGATAGCGCTGTTGATTGTTATGTGACTATTGTATATTTGTAGAAGACATATTCAATAGTTATTTAAATGAAATACCTGTGTTTTGATTGAGTTTACGTTGTGAAAAAAATTTTGAAAATAAGTAAAGAAAACTTTCATTTACAATATGTTATATTTTAGAAAGGTGTAACAGTTACAATTGCCAAAAACTTAAAAAAAACATTTAAGATATCTTTCAGGATCATGCACTAGCAATTTGAACTATTAAAAAATATTAAAAAAAAAAAAAAAAATTTAGATGTGATGATTTTCACTTTGGCAATAATCATACTTTGGTCAAACTTTTATAGATAATGATGTTGTGCGCAATTTAGTGCAAAATAATTTACTAATTTTAACAGAAAACATTGCTAAGAAACTCAACGTTGACAAATTGACCATATTTTGACATTTAAAAAAGACTAGTACACTTTGAAGCACAATATGCCGCATTTGCTAACAAAGCGAACAAATTGAATCGAGGTTCTGCAACTGTTTTTTTATTTGGCCGACTAAATAAAAAATCGGTTTTGGATCAACTGGTGGCAATAAAAAGTAGATCTTGTACAATTCAAACGCACTTAGGAACTAGGAGATAAACGTGCAGAACCTATGGCAAAAAACAATTTGCATCCTAAGAAGGAAATACTTTCTGTTTGGTGGGATTGTAAAAAACTAATTTATTTTAAACTGTTTTCCGTTGGCTAAACGATTAATTCTAACAAGTACTGTCAACAATTAGACAATTTAAGAGGATGCTAAACCGTCCTGTTTTATTGGCACTTCTTAATTTTCCACTCGTTTTGCACTCATTGGTCGGAATGAAAATCGCTTTTCCACAATAAAAAAAAATATGTTAAAGGTGGAAAGTTTAAGAAGATGCTGAATCGACCTGTTTTACCAGCACTTTTTTTTACACAACTTACTCTGCATCCATTGATCGGAATGGAAAACGTTTCTCCAGAATAAAAGAGAATATGCTAAAATATGGCCCGCACAAAAATCAACAAGAAAAGCAAAAAAAAAAACAGTTTATAGACTGTTAGCATGTAGACAACATTTTTACTTCGTATACAAAAGTGGCAGTACGAATCACAACATAACTTGTCCGAGCCATTCTACAATAATATAAACGAATATTCCCATACAGAACAAAAATTCCATTAGACATCAATTAGATATCGCATGAAGATGTCTAATATATGTCTAATGGAGTTTTTGTTCTGTGTGGGGGTTTTAATTGTTTTAGAATTAAATTTTAAAGCTTGTAAAAAGAGAAAATGTGACAATAAGATTAGCGCAGGTTTAGCAGAACCGCCAAAGAGACATACTATCCTTGTCTCTCTCATGTTATCTACGTTTCGGTCCGACTCGGTCTCGAGAGATGGTGCCACTTACTCGACAGCGTAGCGGCTGAGAGTGACAGCTAAATCAAAGGTCACTCGTCGGTTCAGCATCAAACCAACTAATTATAGTAATTTTTGACATATTAAAAGTATCATTTAAAAAAATATATTTAAACAAAACATATTTGCGATAAAGAACACTGAAGTAAGCAGCGCTGTTAAATTTACAACTAATTCACAACAAGATTAATAATTCATCGGTATACAAATGAAAAATTTGTTTATCTTTAACAAAATAAGTTATATTTTGATACGCTGAATAGAAATTTGATCTTAAAAATTTTCTATTACGTTAGAATTTCAAAATTATAAAATCGAATCTCGCAAAATGATATAGGACTTTCCGACTCAGTTTTAATCCTTCTACTTGTCTACAAAAGATGTTTAAGTATTTGTCGAACACCCTGTATATTTTATCTGTATTTATAGAGAAACTAAAGCTGTCTTTTTCAAATCTTTATTATTCAGTAAGAACAAAATATATAATAATAAAAACACTCGTTTTAAACAAAAAACTGTATTTTACGAGATAATAAAAAAAAAGAAATATTAAATTTATTTCCAATAAATAAGATAATTTTGCGGAAATGACTATTTTTAACATTTTTTAATTATCATGTTATAAAAAAATTCTGGAAGTAAATTCGAATCATAGCGCATAAACGTCCATAAAAATTACCGTTTTTTATTAAATTGACAAAACTTGTAGTGACCAATAATTTTAGCGCCTATTTCTATGACAAGCTTAGCGGCTAATAACGTAGTTGCCGGACGTGCATGTTTGTCAAATTGCGCAAGAAAATTTCCTTCTTTTGTCATGTATGCATTTCTAGATATTTGTAGTTAGATAGTTCGCGGTAAAACGGAGTTGACGAACGCAATAAGCGTCACGAGAATAATTCAGTTTGTTGCACAAATTACCTTTTTATTTTTGGCAAAAATCGATATTATGGCAGAATGCACTGTGATGATTGTTACAAATAGAAAGAAGATAAGTATTTAATGCCAGAAGAATGAGAAGCATTAGCACTAAGGATAGTGAGAAAGAACAGTATTATAGTTAGATTTGGTTTTTTAATTGCTATTAATATTTATGTGCTATTCTGCAATGTAATATAATTACTGTAATATAATTTAAAAAAATATATAATTAAAAAACTAAATTTTTAATAATTTCATATTCAATTTCATATTTAATTTTATACGGCATTTTATATTTGCAGATATAACTAGTGATAATAACCTGTTTTATTATATTTTATTATCATTTTTTCTGCGCAACAATTAAACAAAAATTTAATTATTACCATTTTTTACAAGTTTTTTACATTTTACGCAATTTGAACAAATTTAAAAAGTTTTGTAAAAATATCACAATGTAATACGTTTTTAATTTTTAATACAAACAAAATTAAGTAAATTTTGTTCTTATATGTATACCGTTTATTCATACTATATTTACCAGAAACATTTTTCTACCATTCACTTATTTTATTAATATTATTACAGAAAAGTTATTTTATAATCGCAATCAAACTTTTTATACATAACAATAATAATAATGATATAATTTTATTTTGTTGATTGAAAACATTTTAGTAAGATTTTTTTGCTTTTTTAACTAAAAAATATATCTTGCAACCTTAAAAAAATCTTTTTAATTGTGAACTCATAAAAGCGAAAAATTTTATTAATTCTACATCTAGTTTTTTATTTTAGCGATATCAAAACATTTTACTCAATATCTACAGTATATATCTACAGTATCAAAATTTCTCAGTAAGTAAAATAAAAATTTTATCTTCTAATAATTTTAAATAAAAATTTTATCTTATTTAAAACTCGTGAGTTTATTTGAAATTTTATATCTTCCTTTAAATATATAACATTAATTATAATAAATTGCAAATTTATTTTGAGAATTTTAGTACTTTTATATCAGAACAATCATAAAAACTAATACATGTAAATCAAGAATTATATGATAGTCACACATCGTGGCTCAGTTGCGAAAAAACTGACCACATATCTCACGCAATAATAATATTCAAGTATATGTTAGATGTGTTGATTATTTCAGTGTTTAAGCTCTACTATCTTACGCGATAAACGAAGTTGCTTAGTATTTGTGACCTGCGTCATTCATGGAAGCGGAAGAAAAGCAGTATTGTACTGGCATATCGCTAGTTGGTTTGGTTTCGACTTGTCAAGTAACAAGAAGACACGTAAAAAAGCGATCACTGTAGTCGAGACGGTCAGTTCTACGCGAAGCGTTTTCTCAGCATGCACGCGTCGGCGTTGTTTGTCACGATTTTCTCGCTATATATCTCGATCACTGTGACCTATCCGACAACGGAGATCGTATACCAAACAGACATACCGAAAAAATGTTGCAACGCTGGCCATATCTTCAACGAAGACCTCAAGTGCGTTTATCTGGAACCAGATAGACTCAACTACGCCACATATAACGATGTCTTGCAGATGATCTCATCACACTCGCAACAAATCACAACAGTGATCGCGTCTGTGCAAGGCCTGAACTGCCGCTACGACACCGATACAAAGTACATCTCGCATGTACTAAAGGAATATTGTATCGAAAGCATGATCAACGGTACAACAATGTTAGTCAAATGTCCAGAGATTAGTACAGACGTGACTTCAAATAATTTAGCGGAAACGACGATGATGACAAAGACAATAATCACCGTGACAACCATCACAACTATTACTACCATCAACACGGCAAAAAACGAAACAAACTCATCGAAGATAGACCAGAAAGAGATCATTCATTACAACAACAGTCTGGGCACAGTATTTTTTTGGGGTGCGCAAACTTATATGGATACAAATGTGGCTCATGTAGTTCTTTGCATTGTTGTTGTTGCGGTGTACCTGTCCGTTCCGGAGTTGGGCAAAAATATCTACAATCGCGCGATACTTCGTCACAACTTGTGTCTACTATTGCAGGGCTCTCTGTTGATGTTCCTCGGCTTCTGCGAACTGCGCAATTGCCAGATTAACGACAATTTTGCTATATTCATGTGGATAATGCAGCAATATTTTACAAACGCTACAGTTTTCTGGTTGAACGTAATCTGCTTTGACATGACACTGTCTATCACGCGGTTTCGCTGGATAGTGGGATCCGATCAACGCACCAGCCAGGCGGAGAATAGACGATTGTTAATATATGGCATTTTTGCCTGGGGTGGAGCTCTGATTCCCGCCATCGTCGCTTTTATTTTAGAGTATTCTCCCGGTATTCCAGAGGATTTCCCATTGAAACCTAACTACCGCCGCTATCGCGGTGGACCGAACTTCGTGGTAAACATCTATTTTTTCAGCATACCGTTGTTCACGCTCTTTTGGAACAATATATTGTTTATCTTCACCACATACAAAATTATACGAATACAACGAAGTACAAAAATCGCGACACGAAATCAAACTAACGTTCTGAGGAAGAAGTACTTCCTCTTCTTGCAGATGTACTTACTGATGGGCGCACCGTGGTTCTTCGGATTGCTTTTTGCTTGCATGAACAAACTCGTGGTGCTGAAAATATGCCGGTTAATCTGGCCAATATTATGGCTGCTAATACCTGCAGCGGACAAAAAACTGCGCGAAAAGTTTGTGAGTAAATTGCGACGAATCAGAAAGAAACAAGAAACCACTACTAGCTCGTAAATACAAACAAACTCTTTCAAAGTTTTTGTAAAATTCAATCATCGTTGCCTTGAAGTAATAACAATAATGTAAACGTGACAGAATCAGCGTTTGTCGAATGCAAAGTGTTCGTCGTAGTACGAAGAATTATGAGACGTTCGTTTACTGCTATTATTGCGCAACTTTGTGATGTAGGTTTTCTCATGTAGGGTATTTGCATTTTTTCTTACGCAAGTCTCTCCTAGGAAACTTCGTTAAGGAAAAAAATCAACGATGACAATGAGTCGCCTGACTGATTATATACATAGACTGAGAACGATGAGTCGTGCGCTTATAAACTCAGAACTAACAGAACTAATAATAAAAGATTCGTGATGTAATCTTGACAATTAAGAAACTTTAATTAGAATATTCGTGATGTACTGCTGCTCGTTTCTTGCGCTTTTATGGGTTTTTATGTACAGAATTTTATCAACTCAATAGTCTAGAATGGGAACGAGTATATCTTAAGCTAGCGTTTGGTATTTTTTTAAGATAAGAATGTAATATATTTTTTCTTGAAAACATATAAAAAAGCTAAAGATTAAAGTACTTAATACATACAAGGTATACAAAAGTGTTTTAACATGTAAGTCGATTTTGTGAAACTTAGCAGTTTCAAAACGCGAAATATATAAATGGTGATAAGAGCCGTACGCTGGATGTTGTAGCAAAAATAAGTGTATATATATATATAATTTATTCACGTGTAAATTTTTCACGTGAGTTTTAACAGTTTCAATAAAGAAAGTTACTGTTTTCTCTCTGTTTCTGCGAATTAGAATTTAAGACATACATTTTGTAATCTAGTCAATGTATAAAATTAATCGAGTCAATATAAATGTATGAAAAAAACTTTGACAGAAGAATTATCTTTTAATACTTTAAATTTCTCTTTAACAATAGCGTGAATTGATAATGCCCTATTTTATATAAATGTTATAGGCTGCGTTCAAATATTTTTTACTGCCAGTACCGCAAATAGAATAAATTATTTAGTTAATACATAATTTTCTAATGTTTATAAATACAGCATGTACGTAAAAATATTCTCTCTCTTTCCCTCTCTCTCTCTCTCTCTCTCTCTCTCTCTCTCTCTCTCGTGTGTGTGTGTGTGTGTGTGTGTGTGTGTGTATTGTGACCGATTTTTTTATCCCCAGTAAAGTTTCGACAAAATGAGGGCGAAACGATACAATCGCATCACGTCTCGTCGTCTCTCGCAATTTTACGTTAATGTTACAACCGATTGAGCGCCAGGTACGCAAAGCGTACCACCGAAATCACGAATTTTTCAACAAGACTAATTCTGAACGTGACGGCTGCAAAATACTTCAGCTTACTCGATAAGAATTACCAGAAATAGAGAAGCAGGGTTCGTGGTCAAAAGAGAGAGATATCGCAATTAAAAAAAAAATTAACCAGCAGAGATAACAAAGAAAATAACAAGATTATTCCAAAAAAATCGCAGTACAAAATTAAGATAAAGTACAACACACGGAATTTATCGATTACTTCAACTGATCTAACGTGATTACTGCAGGTGACACACAATAATGACGTGAAACGGAAAAATGTGAAACGCATACAAATTGACTGTCCGGTCGCCGTTTGAGAGAAAGCAAACGCAAATTTCACACAAAAATAGCACACGGTTCCTCACTCTCGTGTTTCGCGAACAACACTCGAAATTCACGACGCAATACACAAAATTCTTGTCCGAAGTGGCGGCTTTACAAAATAAAGACACTCGACGTCTCACGAGTACGCTGCATCTCTGTACCTCTCGGATCTTCTGCTGTAAAACTTGTATTGTAGGATAGGCTACGTTTGGACTAATCATCCAACTAGCAAAAGTTTTTCAGATTCGAGTAAGCAATACAAGCAAGAAAAATATGCTTTGAAGTTACAAACGGGGTGTGTTATAGGGGTTGCGGTGGTTGCAAAAGATCTAAGTGTATGATTTTTGTTTTATTGTGTCTTTCTCATTTCATGATTGATGCAATAAGAAGTAGGGTAACTCGATTGTCGTGGAAAAATGATGTAAGTGACCATAGAAACTGTTTTGAGGTGATTTTGATAGTGTCAGGCGGCTGTTACTCGATCTATATCATTTGAATTTTTATATCATTTTTCTTCCAACATTATATAACCGCTGCAAACGAAAATTGAAATGCGGCAAATCGGTTTTCATATATTGCTCGAAGAAAAAGTTTCAAACTTCAACTACATAATAACCTTCTTCAAATATCTCGGAACACAACTATCAATGCGATCTCAAAAAAGAAATTAGATCAAGAATAGAACAGGCTAAAAAAACATTCATAAGTATGAAGAAGCTCTTTACAAAATTGGATCTTAGCCTGGATCTCAGAATTCGTATGATCAAATGCTACATTTACTCTGTTTTACTGTATGAATGCGAAAGCTGGACCTTATCACACAAAAAAAAATCGAGGCCTTTGAGATGTACTTATATAAGCGCATACTACGAATTTTGTGGGTGCAAATAAGAATAACAAATGTGGAAGTTTCCTGCCGTATGAGAAAACAAAAAGAACTGTTGCTCATTATAAAAGAGAAAAAAACAAAATATATTAATGAGAAATAAAAAATACGAACTACAGAGACTGATCGTTGAAAAGAGAAATCAAGGAAAAAGATCTGTCGGCAAAACTCGTGGTTAAAAGATGATGGTTTAGCACATTGGTGGACATCTTTCGGCTGCTCTTTCCAGGACTATGTTAGGCATTTGGATCGCCAACTTTCGAAAGGAGATAGTGTCATAAGAAGAAGGAAAACATTTATTTTACGATGATGTTATTAAAAATGTTAAAAAACTTTAAAAGTAAAAATCAATACATACAACATATGTGTGTTTTTCAACAACTGAAATGTCTATTTTTTGGAGAATGAAAAATTGTTGGAACAGCATTGGCTTTTAATTTCTTTTTTCCATTTACTCGTACTTTTTTCCACATTTCTGCCGAAAAACGAATCTGCAAAAACTTTTCAAGGTATTGTTATGTTTCTATTTAATCATACAAATTTATTACTTACTTCGCATACAAATAAGTTTTTAGTTGTTCGGCACTTTAGCGATTAATAGCCAATATGCATATTAATATTTTTTAGCCATATTGCTCTTTGTTTCAAATCTGATAGGAAATCCTTCGTAGAAAAACCTTTTTTTGTAGAATTGAAACAATTTGGTACGCAGCAATCAGACATTTTCTACGAAATACGTAATTGTTAATGACTATTGAATACAATATTAAAGATTAAAAAATGATTTTTGTGAGCAGCATGCATTAAAATGTTATTTTTTTATATACATATTTTACTTTATCTTATAACTTATTTATTTTATTTATTTTTGTGATGTTTTTATACTTTAAAATAAGTTTATAATATACTTACGTGTTTTTTTGAGAACCCTGCTCAATACTGCTTTTATTCATCGATGTCATATTTTGTCACATTAGCAACTGTGACTCTTACTGCAAAAACTCTAATGTTGTCCAATAAATATCGCTCTCTACACTGGTTTAAAAGAGAGAAAAGAAACAAAATGAATTGAACAAAACTAGTTTTCGCAGATGTTTATACTAAATTAGATTGCTAACATATCATTACTGAGATAGCGTAGCTTGCGTTACTAGAGTTTCCGGTGTATACGAGAAAATGGCTGCCGCTACATATTTAAGATAGTTATTGCGTCCGATATTCAACAAAGTTTTGTAATAATTATTGTTTTAATCTAATAAATTGTATAAATTATAAAAATAATGTTTCTTTTAATTGTTAATAAATGATAAACTATATTTAATTTAAAAATATACATAGAGTATATAAAAAGTACCGGTATCGCGAAAAATCTCAATAACTAGGCATTTTACAAAAAAGTGTAAAATGAATCTATTTACTGGTCTTATTAGTTTGACCTTGAATGACATCGCCAAAGTCAGGAAAAAGACGCCTTGAATTTTTTAAATAGATATCTTATTTTTTGCTGCAAATTCTTATAGCTTTCCACAACACTAGAATAAAGTTTATTTTCATTAAGTACTTTTTGACTTATGAGGGTTGAATATTAAAATGGCCGGTATTAACATTATCTATTAACGGTATCATTCATTTCGAATGTTGCTTTATTAAAAAAAAACTATGTTGAATAGAAAGTTGAGTTTTTGTCAATTCTCTGCATTATGAGTTTACAAAATTCGTTTTAATCGAAATCATCTTTGAAAAAGTTTTAATCGTAGAAAAAGTACCGACGATACTCTAATATTTAACTGTCATAACTTAAAAAGTACTTAATGAAAACAAACTTTATTATAATGTTTTGAAAAGCTCTTGAATTAAGCTATAAGAATCTGCAATAAAAATACAAGTTCCATAAAAAAAAATCAATGTGACTTTACCCTGACCTTTTCAATGCCATCCAAGGTCAAACTGATAAGAGCATTAAATAGATCTTTTTAAGCTCTACAACTATTATCTGAAACACGTTTTCGTAAAATGCCAAATTTTCGAGATTTTTCGCGGTACCGGCACCCTTTTTATACGTACTATATATTAACATCATTTATCACGTTTTAAGAGGGTCCTGGAGCGTACTATATATATCGTGACTACTGTTCCCGATACAAGTGACATCAACTATAGAACGTTATTAAAGAAACAAGAACATACATGGCCAGTAGCCGAGTAGCCATTAAAATTACAAAGTTAGAGTCAAACAATCAGTGGCTGCTTTCCTTTTAGGAGACACAGTCGACACAAGTCGACACAAGAGTCATTCTGTCTTTGTTTCTCACTAAATACTGAACGAAGACAGAATGACTTTTGTGTTGACTTGTGTCGACTGTGTCTCCTAAAAGGAAAGCAGCTAGTGTTGTTAAAAAGATTGCGCTCTAGCCAGACCGGCTCAGTGGTCTCTCGGCCTGAGTGCAGGGGCTGCGAACCTGGAGGTCCCGAGTTCGAATCCGCTTACCACCTAAGGATTTTTTCCGGGCCGGTCCCTTTCAACCAAGTTTTTATCGGTTGATTGGCGAACTTTAATCGGGCCTCCAAAAATTAATTCGGGTGTAATCCCGAGAAGAAAGAGGAACCTCTTTGTTATTCCACTATTAGGAACCAATACATGGCACGACAGAGTCATTAATAAAACAAATGCTGATAATAGTATTTTTGAACCAAAACCATCTGATAAAAATGCCGATTAATTTTTGGAGGCCCGATTAAGTTCGCCAATCAACCGATAAACTCGGTTGAAAGGGACCGGCCCGGAAAAAATCCTTAGGTGGTGAGCGGACTCGAACTCGGGACCTCCAGGCGCTGTTGCAAACTCTGATCCGCTAGCACCAAGAGCACCAAGGTGGTGAGAGCCACTGGGAGCATGCACACAAGCGAGAACCGCCGTCCGTGTGCGTGACGTCACGCTCGGCACTTCGGTTCGTGGAAAGCCCCTTGCACAATGGAAGGAATAGCGATAGCGATAGAAATAACACAGTTTTTAACACAGAATTCCAACTCGTCGGAAATTTTATCGCTATTGCTTATTCCGATTTTCTGATCTGCATTGATACATGTGTAGTTTTGTATGTTAGATT